TATTGTTTTATAAATTCAATGATTGTTCTTTCAATTTGGAAAAACTTTCCTAACCCATGTTCAAATGTTTGATCAAACTAAATCCCTTCTGTTTGTTCCATGTCAATGGCCTGTGAATTTTCCCTGTTCATTTGGATTATCGGTCGGCTCGGTTTATGTATTTGCTAAGTTGCACCGCGGCATATCAATTTNGTGAGACCATAAACAATTTGTGTCCCAATCGAGCTATACGTACGTCCTCGGGCGTACCACTAAACCACACGGGAGGAAAAGATCTTTCAGATGCTTAACTATGAGCAGATGTGCTTTGGTTGATTGTAGAAACCCGAGCACGAAAAAAAAACATTTATAAGTATACAGCAAGCTTTTCCTTGACGAACGATCGATTTAAAACGTAGAACCATTACCGGTTACCTGCTGCTCCACAAGTAGAACTAAACATGTGGATAAAACTGTGGTAAAAAAGATGTCCAAATTTATTAGGAATGCTGTGTTTTAGTCCATTCTCCTCAATTCTCCATAAATTTATTTCGGCTACCCAGGGTTATTAATAAGCACGCAAGTAATCGACCACTAGCAGGGGACCGGGATCAAGATGACCGGTTGTCCCCTCATTGGAATCCACGACATGAAACCTTAAAATTGGGAATTGAGAACCATGCAATACTACCCACAAAAAAGATGAATCTTGTTGAGGTATATGCAGCACTCGTACGTAGTTCAGCAACCAGAATACTACTCAAAACAAACTGCTGAAATTTCTGATACAAGTACGAGGTTGACGAAGATATGACTCAGTCTATTGGTCGAAAACCAATACAGAGGAAGACGACGACCTCCAAACTGACCATCCACTCATAATCCGCTGATATCGAAAGTGTCAGGCATTAGGCGACAGAATTAGCGATGAATTTGATAAGGGCGACCAAATAATATGTGTCGGAGAATATCATTGGTTTCATCAGTATTTATCAATCGCAGTTTTTTGTCCTTGTTGACCAAGTTGCCCCGGGTGGATGTTGATTAGTCCGGAACCCCGGTCTCTCGTTGGCAACCCTCTCACTACTGGCTTTGTTACGGACAGTTTGCTCACCACAACATTGGCACATTACACTGTGTGGTATTACGAGATGTGATTGTAAACATGTCTGTTGTCAAACTGAAATAGCGGTAGAAACATTAGAATGGTAAGCCGTAAGGCTCATTGTATGACAGATTTCACTACTCCAGTACCACTCTCTGGGTTTCGTCGATGATCATTGGTGGATAGGAAAGCACGCGATATTTGTATAAGAACGGACGACTTATTTAACTCTCTTTCAATACCAACAGGAGTGACCCAAATTCTTTTATCAGTTTACTAATGGCTGATATAATAATTTGAGTGTTGTTTGTAATCTCGTGTTCAAATCATTTATCAGATGACGACGAGTGCATCAAAAACGCTCCAAAGCTAAGCGATCCGTATTAGATCACAACTAGAATTTCAAAATTTCATCACTTCACCCCAAATATTCTGCTCGGTTTTCAGATGGAGATTCAAATGCATCAATGTGTTGAGCGTGCTTCAGAGAGCGCTCGGTTCGCAATATTCCGTGTACCAACTCATTGCGTTCTATGTGGTCCCAACAAAAAATTACTGGGAGCCGGAAAACAACTACTATATTGATACAATTTCTATCGGGTCCGAGCCAATCTATGATGACGAAACAGGTGAGCTGGTAGTCAGTCATGCCCTCCCTCCTCTCCATAAGATCATCCGATTTCGCGCTGATGTGTGATCATGACAGTTAGGTCCACTCGATCTCCGCTAGAGTTTGAACTGAACTTTATATACTGATTTCGCCTCTGAATACGGCGGACATAAAATGTACCATTTTCTTGCATTTTGATTACGTACATACATAGTTTATGTGTGTGATGAAGGATTTGATTCAAAATCAAAGAGGAATTCGTCGTGGATAGAGAGCAATTGAAGCGTGAACTGAAAGGCTAGAAAGCATTGCCGGACAATTTTTTTCGATTTGGTTGGATCTCATCCGTGCAGTGCCACAACCCATCGACTCAACTGCGGGATCGAACCCCGGAACCTCATAGGCAGAACGCAAGCATGTGATAAGACCAAACCAGATCAAAACACCTGTCCAGTAGTGTTTCCCCGCTTCTCAGTTCACGCTTCAATTGCTCTCTAAACACAACAAATTCCCCCTTGACACAGATATCTGTGAAATTCGGTCACAGAGCTTATCACATACACACACACAGAGAAACTGGAACAGGAACAGACTGTCTGCCAGCAGGAGCTTCTCCATCAAGGGGCACAACCGGTTTTGTTTTTTGCTCAACCCGGTCAATTGTTTTNTTTTTTGCCTGCCCTGCTCCCTGCCAACTCCCGCCCCATACTGAAAAGTTTTCAGTGTTATGTCACAATCCTGTTCTGATTAAAAGTGATACAGTCTTCCGGGGAATTCCATATCTGCGATTCCATGCGGTAAAACATTCCCGTTTCAGCACAAAACAGTGCACTCTCATTGTCTTATACCATATCGCGACATATGATACAACGGATTCATACTTTACTGTGCATTTTGTTTTTGTTTGAATTTGTTTTGTATATTTAATTCATTTTTCTTTGATCACTACACTCATGTTGGTTGCAACTAACCCATACTGATTGTCTCCAGGGCTACGGTTGTGTTTGAGTTTAGACTGCCGTGGGGAGCAATATTGTTGTATACTAAATTATGGTGTTCTACAACTTGTAATCGATTAGATTTAGATTTCTCTAAATATGCAATTTTTATAACTGAATATTTCTGTGGGTCTTGCCTGTTTTTCTGTCTTCAGACGTTGCAACATGGCCGCGTATACCACCAAAGCTATTCTCGGATATTACCGTGACAGCAACAAGTACAAGTGGAAAATATCAACTTCTAATAACCTCCACCCGATGCGGATCTGATTACAACCTGTTTGGCATTACCGGAGTGCAGGTAAGCTTGATAACGTGTGTCTATTGGTTCAAAATCGAATCTAGATCTCACCTCATTCGATTTGTGTTAACTAATAAATGACCAGATATGATTGGAAACACAACTCGTCATCTAGGGATCGATAATGATACAATTCTTCCATACTGTATGCACATTGTCCGATAAACGTCAACCGTTTTACGATCTCTGTTGTTTGGGAAATTCAGAAAATAGTAAGCACACAGTTGAACAGCTTCATCTCTACCATATTTCTGAACAGTTTCTGAGAGATAGATTGCTCCATCCATTCATTTTTCCCGATCGGGAAGAAATTCACTTTTAACTTTTCCCGCTCCCCGTTGGCTTCTATGTAAACTTATTAATCAAACTCGTGCCACAACCTGACTTTTGTCACATTGGTTCCTTCGAGTCTCATTTACGGGATAGAATATGCTTTTGCCTCATATCAGACGCAACATTGCCGCAATATTATCCACTTATATTTTTACTCGTATTAGTCATTCAATTGAAGTGTACGATTTCTCGATTTTGACGACAATTACCGGTGCAAAATAACAAAACCACAGTAAAAAAACAACCGGAATTCATTTATCAAAATGAGCCACCGACTTGATATAAGTATTTTACTTTTATCTCTTTGATGTTCTATGTGCATCTCTTCATTTCTGAGCACTGGATGGAGGCCGTTGCATCTGTATGGAGTCCACCAACAGAATTACCCACTTTCCTGTACTACATGCCGCGACACTCGAGGCCGCGCAAATTCAAGCGGTGATAGAACAAAACTTAAACATAGAAGTGGGCGATAAAGTTAAGAGTACGTACACGTGATCCACAGCCATTATTATAGAGGTATGGCACAGGGAACTAAAACATATTTCTGAAATGTGAGTAATATTGCACCTGTACAGATACGGTTTTTGGCTTCGCAACTATGTTTTCCATCTCTAGTATAGATTCAGGTACATTGTATCACGCATGTTTTGTAGCTTTGGTTGAATGGTTTGCAAGAACCTTAATGTTTTGTGTATTGCTATCTCTCTGTCGTCGTTCTCGTCGTTGTTGTCGGCCTCTTGTGAGAGTAACGTCGCTCCAGTTTCTGCATACATTTAGTGTTTTTGTTCCACGGCAAAACCATGATTGACAAGAAGGAATAAAAAGCGCATGACTGGATGTCTTTCGGTTAACAGTGCCAGGTCAACGCGACCCGCGACCTGAACGGTCTCATTTCTCTTGGATCCTCGAATGATGCAATGATACAATGGACATAAGAACCATTGTGATAAATGAAGTATATGTTATGTGAAATCTGACGCATTTAGTTCTGCCCCCAAGCTAGGACTAGAAAACCGGGAAGAAATTTTCTCAGAACCTTCGCCAATCACTAAACCACGGCAGCCTGAACGAACTGAGCGTTCCAGAACAACCGGAAAACAATCTTGTCATCTTGCCATCCGTAACACTAAGCAATCAAGAAGTTGAATCTCTCACCTATGAATTAAAGTTCTGTGTTCTACTGTGAAGGGTCATAAGTGTATGTAGTGACGAAACCACGAATTAAATATTGATTGTATCCGTCGACAGATACTGATTCCTGACTCAAAGTGCCGCGCTTTATGAGTTGTAGCATCGTCGTAGTGCACAGCTAGACAAATGATCTGAGGCAAGCAATCTACAAAACGAACGCGAACCTAATCTTGGGAAATTAAATAAAGGATAGCGTAACGAAATTCTAAGAGACAATTTCTGAATAAGTGCAACCGCCACTGGAAAATGGTTTCATCATTGAGTCCACAGGAAAACAACTCCCCCCCCCCGGTGAAGTCAATTAACACATCTCTACAATCTGCTCCAAGGGCTCGATTCTAACACGCCGTTCGGACCTGTCCATTTCATCCCGACACAAATGAGCCACATGGGCCAATTGACGCTCTAAAGCCGACTGAAATCAAATTGGCGCGCGAAAGTCTTAGAGATCTCTTCGAGTTTACAGAATCCCTCGAGGCCTTCAACATTGCAAGTCAACATCAATCAATCATGGCTTTCTTCGCTACTAAAACATTCCAGTACACGAAAACGGCTGACTGAGTCCGTAGTTATTTGTAAAACATTGGTAGGCACACATAAGTTCTCACTGAAAAATGAAAATGGCTCAACCTGCTGGCATCGAAGTGCATATAAATATATACTCAAATTCGAGAGGAAAGTACAACCGTCCAGTGAACCATAATACAATGGGGAATTTCTTATGGAACAGATTAGATGAAACTATCGGCAATTCTTGACTGTCAGCACAGACGATAATTGCTGTCTGGGAGATGCCGTGGACCTTTTTAAGCCACTGAACAGTCCCCATAAGAATATCCCATAAAATCTATCGAGCATGGGTCCAATAACAAAATCTCATAATGACCAGAAACTTCGTTGAATAACAGACGAGATTTGTTCGTTGGAGCGTATCGTATACGATGAATACGTACACTTCATCGGTTTTGTAGAAACACTGACTGATCACAACTCTATACGATAGGGGTAAAATATTTTGCACCGCGGGAGATCAAGTATACCAAAAAAAGTCCCTCTTTTTGTGAGTTTCGTTCAAACCGATAAACGAATGATAAGAGAATAATCAGTCACGGTTCCCAAGTGCTTCTGGTAGTTTTTATCCAAACGTCAAGATTGAAAGCGGACCTTTGAGTTCGATTTCAAGTCATTCATCAGACAGATTACAAACTCTACTGAGGTGGATCTATCTTATACGTGAAGAGAAATAACAGTCTCTCCAACACGCAAAACGGTCACCAGCCATGGATTGGTCACGCACCGTCGAGGGACGGACGCATACAAACCAGTCGTAATCGTGTTATCAACGAGCAGCAAATATGCACTGGGCATAAATTTCGTTTATTACGAAGCATCATCTTGACCAAACATATGCGTTCAGTGAGTTTCTCTACGCTTCTAGTTCATGGCCAATACCGAAGGTAGGGAAATAGATTAATGAGATCGATAAGGACGCAAAAGGTTTATTTCTTTTGCCGTACTGCGGTGAAAACATGGACATTATTATTGACAAATCTTAGCTTGATCCCCTCAGTGGATACACGGCGAGATACTTCCGGACACAAAATGTGCAACAGAAATCACAGTGAATTTAGACTGCATCAAATTTAGAAACATATTTCAATACTTGAGGCCAATTGTATAATCTAAATCAAGTCCGTACATGATTCATGATGTATTCCATTCTGCTCTGTACTTCTATGTATCACTTTCTCTTGTGACAGAAAAACTTCTTTTTCCTGTCGGAGATTCCGAAAAGCAAAATTTTTGTTCCACCGTTGACACACGTCTGATCACTCCGTTTCAGTGGTCGCCCCATGAACGAAAACGCCTTCAGTCGTCAAACGGTTGCTACCAGTCTTCTTGCAACCGTGGTAATGGCCAGTGACAATTGATTGTTTGAACTGTTAAGCTGCAACTGACCCCTCACTCTCTCCGCGCCTTTCGAGTGACCTGGCAATCAAAATCCCCTCCAGATTGATGGAAAAGCAATTAATTGATTTCCGAGTTCGCTTTTTTTAAAGACACATGTGCTATTTATAATCTATTTATAATCTTTTATATGGTAGACGTTTATCCCAAAAAAATTCTCTGATCGAATCTGCCAAATCAATTTGTTCCCGTTTCCGATTTGATTTTTCAGGATCCAAATGATACACAGTCACTTAATGTGGCCGTACCGCTTCGCGACCCACTCTGGCCCAGAGCTGCACAAAGTACCGTGACACGTTTGCAAAAGGCTTCGATTCCGCCGAGCGGGACCATTACTGTGTCGTTTAGGGGAATCGCCATTCCACGTAAGTAAGATGCTCGGATACAATAAAACGGGAATAGGAAACTATCTCTCCCCCCCCACCACCACCACCACCAACCCCTGTATCCGGAAGAATGATTCATTTTAGTTATTAGTGGAAAAACGTTGTAAATTGCAATTTGGTTTCAATTGTTCTATTTTTTCACCTAAAAGCCAAATTGTTCTACGTGTGATCTCTGCTCGTAACTTAAGCCACTCTAGACAGTTGAAACTGTTTATAATGAATGTAATTATAATGAAGACTCTAGGTCCACCAGACTGCTAAACAGACGATAAAACACCTTATGATATTAATATGTCTAAGACAATTTGCCGAATCCGCCAAGGGGTTTGAATCCAGATCAGGCATGTTTATCAACCAATTGTGTCTGTCAACCCAGGTGACTCGACGTGGTCTGCTTCATATCAATACAAGGTGATACAGTGTTCACTTTATTCATCTTTTGAACAATCGATGGAGCATTTTATCGATCAAACTCGATCACTTTGGATCATGATGTGCTCTGTTTACTCGCGCTGGACACAATCATAGGTGGCAGAGATAGTAATGTAGTTCGGGTGTCTGGCACAAATAATGGCGGTGGTGGTGGTGGTGGTGGTGGCACAGTGGTCTGCTCACTATCGCTAACGCGCTTTGGATCCTATGGTTGAAGGAGGTTCGAGCCCAGCCACAACCACCCAACTTTGGTAGTAGACAATTTTGTTACCAACCGGTTCAACACCACGTCTAACCTATCCGGGCCTCATGTGATTCACCACTTCAACTCCCGGGGCCATAGATCATAGATTTTCATCACTGAAAAGCAGGTTCTCGTGATCACGGGGTTCCATCCCGTCCGATGTTCATCACACTAAAAGTGTGCCTGCGATAAATAAAAAGAAATCGGTTGTCTGTGCGGTGAGTGATGTAAGACTGATGAATGTTTTGTTTTTCGATATTATTGCTGTAAGGTGATCCGAAAAGTAATTTTAAATGTTTCCCCTGTTTGCAGTACTGTGAAATTAAACATATATTGGAACTGTTCAAGGCCATTGATGGCAGTCAGCATTTTGCCTTGTACGGAAATGTAACTTGCCTAATTTGGTTGCATGAGTACAAATGGACTGAGACATCTTATTTTTTTCATTCCACAATTTGGTCAATTAGGTAGATAGTATAATAAAAAAAGTCATGCACGAATCACAATTCAGCAATCTAAGGAAGAAAAAGAAACAATACTTTGCTAGTGTGCTAAGGTACTACTACCCGCGCTATCGTGAGTAGTACAACATGTACACTAGCGCATCGAAAGTAGCCAGCATATTATAACGTCCTGTATGGGCATTTCACTGGTTTGTCTGAGAAATATATATATATATATAAAGTCAAAAGATTTATCACAAAGTAGTATAGTTCTATCTGAAAATTCACTTTTGAATACCCGTAGATGAGCCATGGTTTACGAGACCTGCTATGCATATCATTCTCTGCCCAATAGATTAAGTGTTGCGTAACTATTCCATGCCTAAACAGAATACACACTCAAAGAAACCAGGAGTTTCTGTTCTGCTTTTTGTTCCCATTTTGGGCCTCCTCAATTTGCCAAGCTTACAGTTAACCTTACAGACTTTCCTCCTCAAATAAACGTATACCCGCTTCGTAGACCACCAGCCTTTTCAATCACAACTTGATCCATATATTGGGTAACAAAGGCGAGGCGGTTGAATTAGGTCATATGAGTACCTCCCGATTCGAGGCCCATGTGTATTCTGATAACATTCCGAATGTGATAAAACAATGGCTCAGAGATGATTACACTCATCACAATCTTAAGTGAATGTTCTCCAGCTGAACTGTTCACTTTGATAAGCCGTATGTCATGTATCTTTGTTTCAAGTTGTATTGTATTGTTCAAGTGGTAAGTCGGCCTCATGGAGGAATCGATAAATAGGGCACCAAGTGACACCCAAGGCATCGCTGGTGGTTTTCTCCTCAAGGAGCCGCCTTCAACCGGGACAGAGTCAAGTGCAAACTGTAATGCGATGTGGTGCTAAGGAATAATGTATTCAACGCTTCGTCAGATTTTTATTCATGTTGATGCCTTCCGTAAAACTTTATGAATAGAGTATTGCCGAGCGATGTTGCTAAACGGGTGAAACCCCACCACTTCCTCGGATCTCATTGCTAATCGTTCACGGATTAGTATCCATTCAACCAAGGCCAAAAACCTATTCTTCTATTTACGACTTGTAGAGGAGAGCCTGGTAGCGTACGGATCTTCCGAGTGACTCATAGTATTGATCTAACAAGCTGCAAGTTTTGGATACAAAAACGTTGCAATCCTCAAATGATGACCTCGCGTGATTGGATTGACTTTATTGCCCTGGAATCCAGTTTCTTCGCCAAACTCAGGGTTTGGGCACTTAAATCAAACAACTCAATCTCCCGAGACATATAATTTTTGCAAAATCAATTTACTTGGTTGTATTTTTGTCCGTTCACAGCCTTTCCCTTCAACTTCGTCAGTACCGCCATAATTGAACGGGCGTTGGAAACACATCCGTCCATCACAAATGTCCGCGTGAGCTTTGGCGGTTCTTGCTGGGATCAGAAAGTGAACATAGAATTCGTATCCCTTGGTGGTGATCAACCTCTATTTGAGGTAAGTGATCAATCACAGGCATATGCGATTGATTGCTGTGATAATCAAGAACACGGGAGCAAGCAGCGAGGCAGAGAACTCGATAATTCGATTGCAAAAATGTGTTCTGTTCACGAGCCGAGGTGACTAACATTTTCACTGGCTGTGGAACAGAAATGTGGCCTAGAAACAAACATACATATGAAATCTGTCACATTTGTTTTGGTCCGGGAGAACCGAAAAGCACAAATAGCATGCGGAAATTCAGCGCAGTTGTTTCTTTCTCGGATCTTACAACAACTGAAGAACTTGCAAAACAATATTCCTCAAATGATGTGTTTCCTGTTTGTTCCTTATACTATTTTCATTTCCTCGAATATTGTTTTTTAGTGAAGCGAATGTATTCATTGAGTTGTTCAACTTAAGTTCGACAAACGATACTATTCATGAACTGAGCTGATAAACAACCCACAGCACTCACTGTTCATCGAGAGTGCGTAGCACCGACTGAACTAACTAACTAACTAATTATATATATATACATATATATATATATGCAGCGAAATCGTCCTGGACATAAATCGTGCAGTATTGCAATATGGTCTTTTCTTTTCANTATATATATATATATATATATATATATATATATATATATATATATATTGGGCTATTATTAGGACCCCGCTAGGGGACCAGTCACGTGACAGTTCAGATGCATTCATTTCGTGTTTGTGAACTACACTTCCATCTATCGTAATTGTACATGCTCGTGCATCCTTGGTTCCGCTTTTATTCCTTAACCATCGCCGTTGATGAAACGATCGATAGTGACTCTCATGTCCACTGATAGTACTGGCATGAAAGTCGTAAGGTGGAATAGAAAAACCGAGTCACGTCTAACAGTTAATTGTGAGCAGAAATATTGTATAACTATTGCTTAAATCGACATGGGTTTATCATCCTTCAGATTTGATCTTCGAGCACAAATATCCAGTCCTTCGTACACTTTACATGAATGTAAATTATATCACATCACTTCTCACTATTTGTTCAACACCAGTTGTTATTTTAGCTTGATTAACCATGCTTTGCCTTATAAGATCCTCAGTTAGCCGCATATTCGAGGCACAGTAGACTCGAGTTTTACTCGTGTTTGGGCTCAACAGTGACGTACATCCACCATCCTCAGAAAAGATAACATAAGTTGTAGGGATAACAGAGATAATAATAATAACAACGACCATGATGGTGTCTAGGATGATGATGATGATGATTGTTATAACTGCACTCCCGTGATTAGGAAGAACCCAAATCACTAAACTGGAACGGGCTGACTGTAATTATGTGACCACGGTTAACAGGGTCAATGGGTTAAATACAGATCAATAATCATTAGGCTGATTAATACTGGTAAGGTTGATAGCGAAACAGACTACTCACGTGACACCCGGTGTGAGCGAGCGGCGGAAAGATTTGAGCTCTTATCACGAGGATGAGAATGATGGAAACGAAAAAGCTGTGACGGATAGGTTGAGTTCAGCACATTAATGCATTGATCCGTTTGAGTGAGAAAACAACACACTTTCTTATCGGGAAAATGTTCCAGCTGTACTTGAAATTGATATCCTGTATGTTTCCTGAAACGAAATCTTTTTAGCACGACGGTGGTGATGAGATTGTCTAATTGAAGTGATGTTGCCCGGGTGATAAACGAGAGATGATATCGAGGAGAAAAGGAGATTTTTCTCGCCCGTGAGTATCAATTAAAATTAGTAAAGTTGTGGTTATTTTGATACTTGTTAACAATTTGAAATCGTTACTTCTGCGGCGAAGAACAATCTTGTTGGATTCATGTGCCTCAATCCAGGAGTGAATTTGTGTATTAAAATCTGTGCTCACTAATGAGCTTGCTTCTCTCCAATTCTTTTTCTCACATTCTTTCAGATTCTCGACTCATCCGATGTGAAAGGAGACAATGTGAACGTGGTTGTTGAAAAAGTGACCTCGGCCTATTTAAGACTTTGTCCGATCCCCGGGGACATGCTGGCAACGGTGGAAACGGATCCACAGGTAATGCACGCTTGATAACCCAATGCATTTTCTATTGGTCGTTAAAACACCTGCTCCGTCCCAGATAGACCTGTATAATTTAGGTCAAACATTACCTTTCGGTTGTCCACGAATCAGCTGTGGCACTATTGTGCTGATAATGAATCATTTACCGTGGGTGTAGGCTGTTCTGTGTTTCATGTGGCATATAAACCATAGTGGTGGAGAGCAAAACTCATATTCCAAAGGGTACCATGCGGTCAAATAAAGATAATTATTTCAGATCGGACAGCTATTCCAATAATCAGACGAATATCTTTTGTGGTGATTTGTTCTCTCAAGGTTACATACCCTGCAATTACAGGAATTGATCAGTCTCGGAAATACATTTCAGTTCCCAACACCATACGTGTACATCGGTAGCTATGCGTAAAGAGAGTATTTGTGCCTAACTTCATCTCTCACTACAAACTTCGTAGTTCTCTTTTATTGTCGTTTCGATTTGCGCAACTTTAAGTATCACCATAAAACTTGCAATAGTTCAAAAGTTACAGCTCATATTTGGGCAAAATTTCGTGCAAAGTAGCATGGAAATTCATTCTAATAAATTAATCTTGTTTCATGAGAGCGGTGATTAGATTTGATATACGTATTCTCTTTTCATTTAGTGCACAGTAAACATTATAAGCAAAAATACATAAATGGATATTAGGCCAGATATGTTGCATCTGATATGAGATAATGTCATATTCAATCCCGTGAATGAGACTCGAAACACTAAGCGCTGGGAAAAACGAATTTGATGAAACTCCGGGTGTTTCAGGAGTTTTATCAATACATGTATGGTTGTTCAGCATGCATCCGTGGTTATTGATCTTCTTACGTTGGTTATTCTTACTTGAACATATCGATTTGGGTCGTGTTGTCAAATTGATCTCACAAAACCCAGCAGATCATTTTATTCCGTCCGTATTCCATGCACCGAAGTTTCCTAATAAGCGCAACATCTCGTCAATTTAATTGATCACCAACTGACAACGATTATTCTGTCTGGAAAGATAGTTCGTTACTGGGATAAAGGTGTTCTACGGTATCAAAAGTTTTGTAGTACATTCTCAGTGGGTACCTCCCCTCCCTCAACACACACACATACACGCACACACATACACACACCAGTAATAATGCGGATATCTCAATAATTCACCGCAATAGACCAAACTGTTTCAGTTTTTTCTACTTTATCTGATATCTGATTAGTGATCGGGCTTGCCTAAGACTCTGTTTAGAGCTATGTAACATTGTTATTCGCTGGGGAAGACCTTTGGTTGGATTAACAATTATTATTTGAAGATCAGTGAGTAGGTGTGTGTGTGTGTGTGTGTGTATACAGGAACGTTTTGCTCAGACCTCGTGCACTTTAACACATCCTTTCCACCAACGTCAAATCTAAATGCTAAACGACTAAGAGATTTGATGAGAAAAACCTGATAATTTATTTCAACAATCTCTCAACGATCAAATTTTCAGATTCGTGTCTATGTCAACGATATTCCGACGGCCTGTGTGTCTTCTTGCACGCATAAACTTGATGCGTCATTGGTTCCGACATTTACTGGATTCTCGATTGCAGGTAACCAAATCGGATGATTTGTACTGAAAACATTGATGAAAATATCTGAATCATGACCGTTCTAAGCTCGACGAGAACAGACAGGTTTCTCAGGGATAGGATCATAGTAGAGCAAGATAACACACTAAGTGAACGACCGCTAATCAACCGGACTGTAAGCACTTGAGCCCCTTTAAACTGACACGTGCATCAGATTTGACGTAGTTTAGGCGTCTTTCTGTTTTCCGTGCATTCGCAATTAGCCAATGCGTACGGGATTAGAATCACAGCAGTCCTTTCCTCTACCTCTCCGAAAAAAAAGTAATCGAATACCATAAGGTGTACCACAGTCATGAGGACACTGCCGTTTCTCCATCTAGCATAAGCCATGAGAAGACCGCGATGGTGTTATTTATTTTGTAGTGATTACAGAATTCACGATCAACCAGAAAGTGTGATGATGACTTCGTCGGCATGAAAACAATTGTTCACTGCGATCAAACTATATACAATGACTTTTCTATGGTAAGACGTACTATTTGCCCCTGGCAAACAGTGGCTTGGGCCACACACATTAGTCTCAATCGACCAGTTTGATTGTGTAGTGGACTAATGACTCAGTAGAACCATTCAAATTTTACTATATCTATGATCAAATTTATAATTCATACGAAAAAAACTCATTTTGAAAGAAATTTCGTTGTTAGACTCCATAATTCATGAAATGAAAATTGAGCAGTAATCGCTTCTTTTAATGCAAGCAACTGATTCCTTTTGGATATGTAGTCAAAACGTTCATTTTGATTATTCTATATCAAATGAGTAGAAAATATGTTGATTCCCCGGGATCCACATAGAAATGGAACGTTAACAGACTGATTGCGAATCTGGATAACAATGAAGCGTATATCGATCGGGTATGATCATTCGGGAATGGGCTGTTCAATGGTGGTGGTGGTGGTGGTGGTGATGGTGGTGGTGGTGGTTGTGGTTGTGGTGGTGATGGGATAGAGAGAGAGGCAGCTATAGACGCGTACGCTTACGTACCAGATGGATGGATGTGATATATGTCATGGAAATTCGGACTTCGTGTGACTGAGGCTGATCGTAACGCCATCTATCTCTAGTGTGGTTCGACAACAGAATCTAAGGGCGAGTTACTAACTGGCACGGGAGCCTGACAGTTGTGATGGGGTCAAAGTAACAATATGAAATGATGCTCGAACAAATTGGATCGATATCCGGGCAAATAAAACTGATAGTAGCATAACTTAATTTTTATAAAGTATGAGTCATCTGGTCGATGACGGCTTTTGGATAAACCCGGAGAACTCCTTCAGTGACATAGATCGGGTCCCCTCTAATAGATTTAAGGCTACCTGAATGAGGAACATAGGTCACCTCTATACGGCTACTAGTCTTCGGTCGTTGTGGGCGTAGCCACAGCGTATGTTTCTTTGGTCTATATAATGCGAATAGATTGATGATATAGGTTACCAGTATATTCTCCCTTCCATGAATCGGAAGCGTGACCCACTCAGTAACTCTCTACATCAACATCGACATTGAAAAGCTCCTCCCTGACCAACCTCAACTCTCAAAATTAAAGGAAACAAAAACGGACTGACCAGTGTCGTTGTTCTTCAATGAAAATTTCTTCAGGTAGAATTTAGGAAGATTAACTTTTCGCTTATGACTTCTCTACTACTACTACTACTGCAAGAAAAAGATAAAACTATTACTCCATCAGAAAGAAAGAGTGGCTCTACTGGTCGGTACATGTCCGTATAAATTCGGTGGAGAATAACGTACAGATATAATTTTGACAGTATTTCAATTCTCCTCATGAGATGTTTCCCAAGTTGGCAATGTCTTTATCCAGAATAATTGTTATTGTCTAAATTTTAAAAAAATGTTGGTAAAGCGTTCAATGTTGTATTGAAAAACAATGGTGCAACAGTTTCCGTCTCTCCTTCCCTCCAAACACAAAAACACGAAATGCCAACATTAAGGTTTTATTATGCGAGATACTTACAAGCGCTTGCTTTTCTTGTCGACATTTAAAACTTATTTCATCTAGTTTCTGGTTGACAGACTCAATTGTGGGCACAGAACGGCAGAGCGGTTTGAATATTGTACACTATGAGGGTAAATGACTACTACCGATATTCCAGTCGACATTTTCAGAGCGCGTCAGATGAGTGTTGGACGATAAGGCGAATGGGGGAACGAACTGGATGATCTGCTCTGTTTGATACACCAAAATCAAGTCCGTTCGAAATCGACGAGACTGTGTGGAATACGACCGCGAAAAATTCCAGTTTTTCCACATAAGTTTTGGAATGCAATCTCTTGAATATGTTGGTGGACATTGTTTTTGGACAATTCCAGGATCTTAAGATGATGTTGTAGTCATGGATCCCACGCGTAAAATGTATACTCTATGTGTCTGATAAAACACGTGATAATAGCATAGGATCAAATTTGACAAATACGCTTTTCGGCAAACCATGTTTTGTAGTGACGAATAACACTCTGGAACAGTTTACGGAACAGCTTATTACATTTTGAACACTAGCACACAGATCCTTGTTATTCAAGCAGGCATAGGGAGGTTGTTGAAATCCCAGGAAATACAGAAACCAGGTTTTGTCGAGAATCGATACGACCGTAAATTTCGGTGCATTCAATTCAAAGTCATTTAAGTCGGACCGTTTGGTAAACAGTACTAAGGGTTCTCACACGGACAGCCAGTGAGTCCTCAGGATTCGTCGTTTGCGAACAATTTGTCTTTGTGCTATTTGAAGTAATCTATTGCCCTAAACAATGAACCTTCTTGTAATGACTTTCTACAAAACTTCAGTATGTCGTATGAATTATGTCGTCAGGACTAAATGCTCATGATTGACGTTGAAGAATTTATTTGATGGTCATTGTTCCCCCGGATATTGTTGTCACACTGGCATGAAATGCTGCAATCTCCTTTGAGCGAAATAGAATCCCGTTTACTATGCCTTAGGTACTCTTATTGGTTGAACTTCACGGACAAGCGCTTGCTAAAAGGTCTTTATTAGTTTTCTCCCTAAATAACGATACTACTGATATGATGTCGTACATTTTGTCTTCTGATTGCAGCCCTGGATGCAGTCAATCAAACACTGCGTATAACGGGAGCCGGGTTTAACGACACTAATCCCCAATTGAATTCACTTATCTGGCTGGGACCGGACAATCGAACATTGGACAGAATAACGCCTATGACAGCCACAAGCGGCCAGATGGAATTCTATCGTCTACCTTTAACACAGTTCCCGGCCGGAACACAAAGGGCCCAATTGTTGGTCGACCCGGTCGGTTTCTCAGATATGTTCAGTATTGATTTGGGCAGTACCGGTGCTACAATCTCCTCGATAACACCCAATAGTGGACCTCTTGGCGGTAAGATTTCATGCGTGCCAGTTTGGAAGGCAAATTTGGAGACAAATTTATGACTGCTATCCGAGTCACACGTGACCAATAAGAAGAACCAGCTGATAACCCCGTTCTGGATCATTCATTATGTTGCTAAAGGAAAAAGTGAAACGTTAAGCTTCTGTATCCATCGCACTGGTACAGAAAAAAGACAGCTATTTCGATATGTCCAATGGCATTTCTAAGGCTCCTTAAGTCTACTCAATCCGTCTATCAGCGTCCGGGATATTGGTCATTTAACCGTTCAAGTGTTCAAGTGTAATTGTATTCATGAACCGAGGACACGTTAATTGAACAACCGGAACGTCTAAATTATTAGCTCGGTACACAATGTCATGTTCTCGATTGTTTGGAATTGATTCCGTTAGAAACATTTTCCCGTAGCAGATATCGATGCGTTAGTTGCAATTTTTTTTATTAACCGTGTTTCAAAAATTGGGAAAATCATCACTGTATTGTTGGGGTCCACAAAAACAAATATGGTTATGTGCCTACGTTGTTGTAATAGTCAATGTTATGTCTGGGTTTCAGTGACTATGCTTTCGGATTTCCCTTGTAACTATGAAACGTTTCAATCATGTCTTTTTGCGCATTCGAAGAGCCCAAATTCTACATTTTACTCGCAATAATTGGCAATTTAACCTCTGAGAGTTGTTTGGAATGATGGATCATCTAAGATCCCACTAGAATAGACATGAAACTGAGCAGAACAACTGCTAAGCTACTGTCACCGATTTTCATACCAAAAAACCAAACTTAACTTCGTACAAGCGCTGTTATTTTTTTAGCTGCCTAGATGACCAGGGAAAAGCAACTCGTTTCATATGATGAATCGGTCGTGCAAAATGGAGAGTTGAGCTTAAAAGCTCGGGAATATTGGACATATGTTTCGACCTGGTTGGGTCTCATCCGTGAAGTATGTGAATCCATGGACTCAACTAGGGCTCGAACCCGGGACCTAACAGGTGAGAAGAAGCGTACTAACCACCCGGCCACCGAGCGAACGATCATAACGTTTCTCGTTTGAAATTTGCATGCTAATAACATAACCCATGCTGCGGGTAATTTACCTCGTTCATCTCAGCACTAGCTTCTTTATTTTCATACAAATGCTTCCATCAGTGGCTTTGAAAACGGGAGCTATTTCTAAACACCTTCACAAAATATTACTCAAATCGGATCTTCTGTCCGACCACTGAATTACTTACTTACTTACTTGAGCTGCAACCAAGATGTCCCTCATTCTTTCTTGAGGCAAAAGGTATAGACTCAGATCTGTGACAAGGCTAAGTGATTGAGAGGTTCGTCTCTGTAACCTCTTTATCCGTCACGGTACGCACATACAACAACAGAACAGTACTTTCAGAACAATGCCAAATGCTGAAACAAGTTATCTACTGATTACTGGCAGTTTCAGTAACAGTATTGTGATGCATAATCCTCCGTCGGTTCAGAACTCACTATTGCTTCAATATACGCCTACCTTTTTGTATACATTCGATTTTACTACACAGTAGAAGTTCCCGAACGAACAAACTGGGGTGCCTAAGTCGTAAGCACAGCAATAAAAGCCGGTGAAGAGACACGCGTATATGTTTCAGTCATTACCGTCTAATTTTTCATTTTTACTTTCTTTTATTGAATGCTTTAAAAATGATACCATTTTCAGGAAGAGAGTAGCGGCCAACCAAAGGGCTATCATGCAACACACAGTAGGTAGTCAGGCGGTGATGATGGGATTCGAACTCACATGCTCCGGGGTGATAATTTAGGGGTATTACCACCAGGATCACCACTGCTCGGTTGATAGTTATTTTGGTTGTAAAAGGGCCAATAAGCCTGATGTATATTTGACACCTTACTGCCAGGACCGGAACTGCTCGGAAGGCGGAGATCGACATCCATTCAGAATTTCCAATTTGTCGGTTTCATTATTCACCGGGAAATAATAAAAATACCTAAACGTAAATGGTTTGGGGAAAATACTGGAAAAACTGAAACGTTAGAGTGGTCTTTGACTGTTCAATAATTATCCAAGATTCAACTGTATGCATTATATTGTCTTTGACAGTTTCCGTTTATTTGTAGAATGATATACAACACCTATAGAACTGAGGTTTTACAAGGCCAACGGGAGTTGACTGAAATGGCTATTCTGATTTTGGGTTACGTGTGCTGTTCGTTAGCAAACGCTAGCAAAAGATGTCACCGCCTGTTGGACCATGGATGTGTGCACGGAGTGTGAAAACAGTGGAAGAAGTTCGATGACATGTTTGGGGAATGAAACAGCACTGCGGACTCGGACAGATTGCACTGACTGCTCAGGCTGGCATGAGTCGAAGACCGGGCTGATAGTGAAGGGGATTTCAAAGATAGACAGGTCGTTTGGCTGACAACTCGACATCCAAACACTGCCTGAACGGTCTGAAACTAACAAATTCCTAACAAAAGAGCACGAATAATAAACTGGGCTTTCATTGTTCTTTTCGAGGACACTCGTAAAACGAGGTTTCTGTCCGAGGAGGGAAATTCAAAGAATATAAATTTAAAGACTGATTTCAGTTGATTATTCTGAGCGCTGTTCTATAGATGTATGCATATGACATTAAATACTGTTCCCTCCACTCAATTATTACATTTCATAGGAAATATTTCAGCGATAATTGTCGGTACTCGGTTCAATCCATCAGCGATGGTTGTGCGTGTTGGAACAGGGGTTTGTTCAATACTGTCCGCCACAGCCACTGCAATACAGTGCATTATTCCCGAGGCAGTAAGTTGAGCCTACTTAATAGTTTGCTATTATCTCTTCCCCATATACATACATATATTTCAAACAAAACAACAGAGTGGCGAACAAGCTCGTTTTCAGAGATCCGTATTCATGCTAATACATCTCAATATATATCGCTACTATATATCACTACTAAGATAAAATCGGTTTTAGTAATCTATGTTTCTATTTTATTTTATTTTCCCATGACAATTTTATTCCCAAGTAGTGATATATATTGAGATGTATTGACATGAATACGAATCTCTGAAAACGAGCTTGTTCGCCACTCTGTTGTTTTGTTTGAAACGTGCTCTGTGGGATTATTTAAACATACATATATATGTGTGTATATGTGTCGGTGCAGTTGGAGCTGTGCTTTTTTCAGTCCTTTTTAATCGGGCTCATTCTCTCAACAGTTTTGCCCAAGTTAATGGTAAACATGATTTTAGAATCGATTATCATTCCTTCGCTTGGTGTTGGTATTCACTAAGGTGAACAGTTGTCTGTTCTATGGTACAAAAGACATTTTGTACTTCTGGGTGAATATCCATGTTAGTTTGCACAGTGCCCTGGATCCATGGATTATTGGTTTAGGTATGTTGGATATGCGTTTTGCAGGATTGGGTTGTTCTAGCTGTCAAATTTTATCGAACACAAAGTAATCAACTGAGAACGTGAACATGTTTCACCATTTAGTCAATTATATTTGACCTAGTAGATGCACCGCGGATCCAGTTTCAGCACTTATCTATAGGTATAGGTTGATCACGGACAAAACAATAGATCCTTTCTGTTACCATAGTGGTATTCGGTTGTTAATGAGGAGTAGAGTGTATCATTTTTCTTTCCAGACGGATCTTCTGGATGGGGGGGGGGTCGGGAAATCACATTGCCAAGAGATAGTCGATAATCGCCACCTGTGCCGCATTGCTCTGATTTGGTGAGATAAGCGGCCACCGAACCAATTTGACGTTCGCGCAATAGATGAATCATCAATAATCTCGATCAGGTTAAAGGGTAAAACTGGTGAGATAAAGATAAATTATGGACAAAAATTTACCAAAGCGTAGAGGTCCGGCCATATTTTATAAGCAAGGTTATTTGCTGTTTGCTGGGAGACAATCGAATTGGACGATATGGGTCACTCATAAAGCGCAACACATGGAAAAATATCTGGCTGATTAGGATAGCTCAGGGACTATACAGCCGTACACTTATTGAAATACGTAACCTCCATAGATGAAGCACGTGATATGTTGTTTTCTGAACTAGTGTTGTGTCTCAACTCGGACGTAAGTTAACGCAAGGCTTTAAGGGAGAACAGAGCAAGACCGAGGACCAACAAAGGGAAAACGGTTGACAATGGACTAAGTCCAGTTGTCCAATTTCCAGTAGTCTGTGTCTAAATTTTTGTGAGTGAATGAATCATATCCAGTCAGTTACGGGTCTATTGTACTCCCGTTTCTCTCTCCCGTCTCCTACGCTCCGTATACAGGAATCTGGCGGATCAGTTTCGGTTACCGTGGAACAGTTAGGCATCACTATATCCGGTTCGGTGAATTTCAACTATATCGAAGCAAACACCCCGGTGATAAATTCTGTCCAGCCAAATACCACCATTCCCGTTGCAGGTAACTTGACCTACAGGGACTTATGATCTGTGTAACATTGACACACTTTATTGAGCACAATTTTATGCGCTAGCCCGGGAGAATGGTAAACGAACAGTTGCATGAAATTTCGAGAATGAATAATTTGAGTTGATTTCCACAACGAATTGCCGTTAATCATATTCAGGAGAATTTTTTTCACATAAGTTTCAGAATAACATAAAAAGACATTCAGATTATAATAAAAAAAGTAGTGAATAACATCGGGACTACTTTTTCAAGATAATATTGAATATTTGTAGCTCAGAATGCTCAAGTTAAATGGAAGATACCCCCAATCGATCTGCAGTCACCTTTCCTATCACTGTAGGTTGACAGAATGTTTCAGCTGAAATAATCAGTGATTGAATCCATTGAGGGAAAGGTTTGAACAAAACTGAGACCGGAATTTGAACGGTGGTGAGGGTTGACTGAATCACTATCACGGTTCATCGCATTTGCTGACTGGGAAGACGTACTGTCAGTTAGTTGGTCAGTGGGGTATACTAAAAAGTACACAGAACACCCTACAGGGCTCTCCGCCCCCCCCCTCTTCCACACACATATGGTTCTCCGTAATAATTTGATAATTCTTCCTCTACTTTCGCACATCATTCATAAAACGAGTTGGGCATAAATTTTTATTTCTGAAAAACGGAATTATTGCCCCGGATCCATTCACCTCTAATTACTTTTATTCTATTTGCCATGTTCCTCCTGTGCTCCATAATCTCTCCCTCTTTCTCTCTCAACGTCTGTCACACATTTGTTTGAGCGCGTAAACCGCTTCATTTGTTCATTCCAGGTGGCCCTGAAATCAGTTTGGATGTGACCAGTTTTCCCGAAGGCTCAAATATTACGATTGGTGCGGTACCGGTGAATAACCTCACAGTGGTCAGCCCAACATTCGTAACTTTCCATGCTCCGGGTCAATCCAAATCTGGGGACTATCCAATCTGGATATGGTTGCCCACGGGGGGACGATCAAATTCCAAGTAGGCGTGTAAATTGTTTCACACACACACAGACAGACACTGATCACGTTTATCGACAATCACAACCATACCATACCCATTCCATACCCACAGGGTGAAACTCACATACGCATTCGTCGTGTTCAATGTGTCAGAAACATCGGGAAGCTGGATGGGCGGAAAATTATTGCGAATCTCCGGGGACGGTTTCAGTCCATCCACAAGAGTACTATTACGTGCCACAAGAGAACCGAATTACACGTGTATTGGTCCACGTGCAGCGAAATGTGAGCCTATTTGGCAATCGGCTCAACAGATCGAATGTCGCCTGAAGCCGATGGCGCGTGCGCATAAAATTGTCAACAACGGTTCAACTCCCAGTAAGTTCGATCCATCCCAACTCCAATCCACTCCACAACCAGGGGATAAAAAGTTCATTGAACATCACAAAGGTTAACTGTTTTAGAAAGGGAAGACTCACTGTCTCATTGTTTTAAATTTAAAATAACGGAATGTTTGAAACCTTGAGTCCCCTTTTTTCACTTCACCAATACCAAAACGAGATATGAGTTTATTGAAGGTATTCATATTTTGTGTATTCTACTCACTCGCTCCGCATAAAACAAACAGGCACATGTATACAACATTGATCAGATCAATAATTTGATACGAATGTGTAACAGCAAACAACGAATACAAAATATGGAAGTGAAAGATTAACTCCACGGTCGGTTGATGGATGCTAGCAAAATCGTTTGTGCGACCCTGTATCGAAAACGTGCAGTTTCACTAATTAACAAAAGTTTAGCATTGCGCTCAAATAATAGGGGTTTGAAAGACGAATTAAGATCAACTGTGTGTGTCTTGTTGTCATGAGATATTTTGCAACAGATGATCCCGGGTTTTGTGTAATAACAATCACCGGAGCTTCGCCTAGCGGTTTGAGTCGTGGATTTCGTGAACCACTTTTGAATGTGTTCGGTCGTCCGTTGTGATAGTTGACGGTTAGTTTTGGTTATGTATACGTTATCGTAACTTCAGATGAACTGGTATAAAGGGCACCAGACAGCCATTTTAACGTTTTACCAGACCAGTTCGCGTGAGCGGTAATGAATCTGAGTAGAACAGCTAAGAATTCAAATTTGTAAAGCGGACCGTTTGTTTTACATCAGCAATTTTACGAGAACTGCTGACATCTCCCGATGTTTGTCTTTTTTTGGTATTGATAAAACCAGATGAGATTGTGTCCATATTGGATTGTATGTTACCTCAGTGTAAATAAGGGGACTCGGGTGATACTGAAGTACAACGATGTGGTTAATGCGTACACAGGGAGGAAACAGTCTGAGCTTGAGCGATGATAAGTATGTAGTTATTATTGTGTGCATTTGATAAAAAAAACTTCGAGACCGGCTGCTTGATGGAGGTATGCGACCAGACGTGTGTTGACCAAATAGTCAGAGTGACATCTTCGTAGAACAGCACCATGAATAAGATATTTTACTAAAGTGAAAACGTGAGGAATTTCTTTTCGAAATATTGCTTCAAACATTGACATATATAGTTTGACTGGACAATAGATAGATAGATAGATAGATAGATAGATAGATAGATTGATTGATTGATTGATTGATTGATTGATTGATTGATTGATTGATTGATTGATTGATTGATAAAACATTGTGTGAATTTAGATTCTGAATGTTTGGATTAACCCATTTGGTTTTTCACAGGCACCAGGTTATGGGTTTCACTTCTTGGGAGATCGTTAATTCCCCACTGTGTGTAAGCATTTAAATGCGATGGAAATGTTTGTGATAACCAACAGAGCACTGGACAGCTGTTTCGTCCTGTTTGAGACTCGTCATCGGTGCGTACATTTTGTGTCCCTGTCATGATTGGAACCGAGAACATTCGTGTTGGGACTTGAAACCCTTACTCCTGAACTACACGGTCAACGGTTTTCACCAACATCATCAAAAGTGCCTGGTGCCTATAAAAAACAGAATGGGCTAATCCAAACATTCACCGTCTAAATTGATTGAGCCATTCGCACAAAGTGTTAACCGTCGACCGTGTGGCTCAAGCGTATGGGTTTGAAGTCCCAGCCCGAAGAATCGCGATTCGATTCCTGACAAGGACACAAAAGTACCTGTATAAATACCTGAAGCGATAAGTCGAAAAGAAATTTTTTTGCGTTCCTACTTTGTTCTTGTGTATACAGGTATTGACCAAACTCGTGTAACACTCTGACTTTCGCGACACTCAAGGTCACGTGAATTCAAAAGGTGATAGAATAGAACTAAGAACATGGAAGTGAAAGATGAAGTTCGAAATAAATACACTTCACCCATATTCATTAATATGCACGTGTGATATTGGAAACTGAAATATATTTTCAAAATGAGAGTAATGTTGCACGAGTTTGGTCAGAATGGTAACTCGTAGTTTGTGTGTGTGTGTGTGTGTGTGTGTTGGAACAATTATTGTGGTGATTCTAATAAAGCGTTGGTCCCAAGTCTACAAGGAACCGGCAAAGCCATCCACTTGTATGTCAATAGCACAATATGGTCTGGGGATTGACCACAACAGAGCCCCTGGAATATGCTCGGTTTATAGATTGTTAGACGCGATGCACCGGATAGGGGACACGCTGAGAGACGAATAGTTTCCGGAAAATTTCTTCGGAATGAGAAGCGATAGGACAGATTCGTTTAATCGGTGTTTACGGTCCCTAGGAATCGGATTTATGCAGTGGTCGAGTTCAGGTGACTTGTGAATTGAAAAGGTTTAATTCTGTGACATGGAAAACTTGTTTCATCAGAAAACTGTTCTTTGTCTAGCCGGAATTTTTCACCTTAAGGAAAAAGTTGTCTCGTCAATTGGGCTATTATTTTGAGCACGTTCCCATTCCTGCTCTAATGCGTGAGAATTCGTGGGAAGAACGATCAAGGCTATTTGTTGTGCAGATTCAAAAGCACGGCCCATCTTGATTGAGAGATATAATTTTATATCAAAACTGGTTATCCTGAAGCGTTGTTACCGCTTTATTTCCAGTAACTGGTAAACATTTTGCCCAGATTTCTGCGGCAATGTAACCTCTAGTAAATCATGCACGCTCCGCACAGTGATGTTACTGCCAAGTGTACTGCGATATACGTGGAAATTTCAGCAATCTTAAGGTTTTCACCAACATTGAAGCGTCGTCTTAGCGTTTAGTGTTTACACTTTGGCATCTGTTTGTGAGTAAATTCTATGTGTCCAAAACTGCAGTAAAAAAAAGATTGCGAATTGGTGATTAGATATGCTATTCAAATTGTCTTTTTATTATCTTCAAACCGGGACATCCCGCTTTAATCTGGCTACAATCGTCTTCCCCCTTACCCCATTCTCAGGCTACGGACCAAACTATCAATGGAATCCGGCCACTCTGGCAATTATTCAAGGTGATACGGTCGAATGGGAGTGGACTGCACCGTTAAAGAGCAAACCATTTTCAGTCTATCAAGTTAAAAGCTTGCAAGAACCGATTGCAATACCGGATGGTTTTCAAGTAGTCGCCTCAAATCAAGGTGTGTCCAAGTGAATTCTAGCACCCTACTGCAACCCCTTCCCCCCTCGCAAGCGCCGTTCCCTAGTGAAGATGAATTAGTGAAACTGTTTTAGTCACAATTAAATGCATTGTTCTCTCATTTATATTTTAAATTATAGTTTATAAAAGCACGAGCTGAAACAAAATCATGTTTTTTGCAACCCACAAAAAGTGGGCTGGTTGGAAGCCACTCTCAGGCGTTTTTGTTGGCACACAGGTTTGGCTAAAGGAGGTTCATGAATGCTGTTTTCACATCCATCAGGGATATCGATGGTGATGTTGCGGCATAACCGAGGACCCTTGTGTCGACCTTTGTGAATCCGGTGATGACTGGTCACTGACATCCCGTTTACGCTCTCTCGCTCTCTCTGTCAGTTAGGCTGAACCCTGGCATTGTAGAACAGGTCATTCCAGAACGCCGATAGTATGAAGACGATAAATAACCAACACGTTCTGAACGTGGTTCCGACTTGATACTGCATCAATTACCATTGGGAACGGGGAACGTTATTGAATACAGTTCAATGTGTCAATATTGATTTGTTTTTGTTTTTGTGAATTCGACAAATCTGATCACATCTTTTTTACTCAAGTTGGTAATCAAAACAACCCCGTTCTCATAATCACTAAGTATTTGCTCCTATTGTCCTAGTGGAAACGGAAATGGACACGTGTTATGGCTCACCTCATTCGGTTTCGTTTCAGGTCGTTTCCAGAGAACGTTTATGGTACCGGGAACCTATTTCTACGCATCCGCGACCGATTACGTCATGATTGGTGCCATTCGTGTACTACCGTTTGGTGATTGTCTGGCTGAAGTAGTTGTGAGCGAAGGCGGACAGGAAGCAAAACACAACCTTGTTAATGGTGAGTAGAAAAGTGAATAACTGTTATACTGGTGAATACCCACGCACACACGTACGCACGCAGTCGGTGCGTTCGTTCATACTGAGTAAATCAAGTCAAGTAGTTGATGGGGGTTTTAGGAAAAGAAAACATTGTCACTGATGAAAGTGATCAAGTAGCTATTGATCGTCAGTGAATCGTTTGAATAGTGAGTTGGGGATTTAAAATCAGCCTGATATACCGAAAGGGGAGGGAATTTGTTGAGATGTTGCGTTTACCGTTTTCCTTCAAACTGGTAAATATCCATTGCCAGTGATAAAGTATACATATGTGATTCATAAGTCGTTCCCGATTACGTCAGTAAATATGTTTCTAAATTATTGACTATTAGTACTGTTAAGTCAGGAGCAAAATATAGGAAGCAAGAATTTCGCCCAGTTGATCACATTCCCAGTTCAATGTGACCAAAATACAATTTACGTAGCCCACGTGACTGTTGAGTTTACGAAATTGATGTGCTTATTTCGACCAAGGTAGATAGAAACCAGTCCCAAACACATTTTTTGTAATTGATACCGTTCAAACTGTACCCAGACACGTTTTCTGATATTGGGCACTGTTCGCAATTTTGAACACAGCTCTTGTAATTGCATTGGACGAGGTCTATTTCATTTTCGCAATCAATAAAAACAAAAATTAATCAAGATCACAACGACAAAATCTGTCCTGTTTAAGTCTTGTAATATGCACTTATATATATATATATATATATATATATATATATATATATATATATTTATATAGGGTTCAAAATTGTCAAATTAGCGTTATGGTTTAATGTGATGAATATGATTGGTTGATTGTAATCTTGTGTTATGTGGTTCGGAAATGAAAGGGTGGAGTCTATTTTTTGTTGTTTTGTGGTGTAAAAATGTTCACAGCGACGGATAGAGTGAGCTTTTTCATTTCCGGTCTGCATCAATGGGTCATGACAAAGGTCACGGTCGGCTCTGACAGGTTAAGGCCAGGGTAAGCAAAGTGACCGAACGAATCGCGTTTGAGACCAAAGGGACGGATTGAGCTGTCGAATAGCCACCGACTAGACCGTAGCAAGGCGCCATTGACAAACAGCTCTGGGTGGGTTTGTTGGTACTTTGTGGGTCACCTTGAATGCTTTCTCGTTTGCTTGGTGTCTGCAAATTGTTTGACAACTACACTTTTAACAACTTCCCTAATGTCCGTACTCAACCAGGCCCACTTGTATTCCTTGATTCTTTGTGACAATTGCCTCATCATGTGGGCTGCTTTGCGGTTGGTCACCTCTCCCTTGTTCCTCCTAACATGCTTCCATGCGCATAAGTCTCTCAGATGACCTCTGTTGAGGAAGCCCTCCTCACTGCCTGCTCGTGTCGGAGGTGTTTTTCCACCAAAGTGAGAGGACAAAAAGCCATTATCTGGGTCGATGAATCACTGGCAGTTCACCCAATGCAGTTGGCTAAAAACCTGATTCCAAACGAACCAAGAAGAGGCGTACGAACCAAGCATACTTGTTCATGGTTGTGATATTGCTCACATTGCTCCATTGGGTATCGAGGTGTGTTGGCCACCTTGGACATTTGACCCGGCCCAATAGGCGTGTGATCCCGTGAACTAGACACCGGTCTCCAATGGATTGAGGATTTTACACACCGCTGCCTTACGGGACCGGTTTTGACTAGTCCGAAGGCTCCGGTTGTGAACTCTCAAAAAATTCACCTGCTTTGGCCTGCCTGTGCAACCTGGCAGTATTCAGCTCACAAGCAAATCCTAAAGCTTTTTATTTTTTACAAAGAGTATTGTACCGTGATTTGTTCCACACAGTCTGAACGCAGATGTGCGTGAAATACCCAAAAACACGACCTCTATTTTCTATGGGTTTTGTGCATATTTTCCCGACCGACAGAATTTTGAGTCCTCACTAGAGGTTCAGCACATAAACACAAGCACTCTGCGTGTTCCGACTACTAATATACCATATTGATCGTTGTTTAATCCACGGATACTCCGAGTGTACAAGTTCATTACAGAATGATCTGTCACGTGGCTGCTCTCAATCGTTTAAACATCCAGAATTTGGACGCCTTTCAACTTTTGATCAAACGTGTAGCGAAACAAATTGTGAACCATATTTGAAACGGATTAAAAAAATACGGAAATGTCGAAACTACCCACCAAATATAAAAAACAAATATTTTTTTAATTATTTACTCCAAATAGCTATTTCAAACGATTATTTCAACAAAACTGACAGCATATGAGATTGAAATGAAGGGCAGTTCTTTGATGACGTTCACCATTTAACTACTATCATCAATTCAGGCGAATAAATTTTCATGAATATACATCGTGCTTTCATTGAAAGCGCCATTAAAAAACGTTTTCTCTTCCTGCCCAACAGATCCCATTTTGACACCACCGGTCTTGCAATGCCCATTATCGATCGGCTGTACCGCTCTCACAAATGCGTCCATTTTGAGCAGTCGTCACACATTCACCTTACGTCGTTGTCTCACACCCGTTGTACAGGCGTTTGGCCCACGCAGTGGTTCGGCGAACACGATTATCGATATCAATGCCGAGAACCTAAGTGAATGTCGTCAAATGATCGAAATTCGTATTGGGAAAGCGTTGTGTAATCTAATGCCGGCAAACGGAACCCAGTTACAGTGCCAAATTGGAGACACGAACGCGGTGGAAGCCAAACTGCTGCCCGGTGCTCCACTTCGACTAGATGTGATCCATGCGGAAATGGGATCTTCCATTGTGCTCGGTGGATCGAACGAACTGGATCAGATTTTCTTTTTTGTTCCTCAAATCAGTCCACAAAATGTGGTCCAACATGGGAGTATTTTGGGCGGGGGCACTCTGACCATAGTGGGTTCAGGGTTTGACGCGCGACAGCTTGATCGCGTCCGAGTTAGTATTGGAACAGACGGGACTGCTTGTGTACCGACAACAGTAACATCTGGACAGGTCACGTGCATTATCAATCAGATTAGAACGAGCTCTTTGTCAGTGTCCGGTGTGACAGCTGCCGTAATCAACGTTCAGGTTTTAAATAATCAAACAAATCAGTGGATTCCAGCCAATTGTCCATCTGCTGCAAATTGTGTTTACATGTTTGATCCGGAAAGAACACCGATGATTTCGCAAATCGATCCGCAAGTGATTACCAGTTCTTCTGCCCAAATTAGGCTAAGCGGTACACAGTTGCTTAGCACAACGGAAACAGTGGCCGCACTTTCCGTACTCATTGGCACAACTCCTTGCACCTCTATAGTTGATACCGGTGACCGGCAAAATTTCACCTGTTCCCTGGCAAATGCCTTACCATACGGAAATCAATCAATACGTGTGATAAATCAATTTCGAGGAGCAGCAATAATCCCTAATGGATTGGTGGTCACTAGTGATATACAGCTGGATGCCGTGACTCCCACATTAGGAAGTTTTGCCGGTGGGACGCCAATTTGCCTGACTGGCAATGGACTGGACGCGGCTGATTTGACAGTCTATCTTGGTGAGAGGCTTTGCACACCGGATCCCACTAAGAACGTCACATCAAATCAACGATGCTGTCAAACACCGGCACAAAAGATTCCCACAGATGGAACCAGTAGTACAATGGTAAATGTCAGAGCGACACTGGCCAGGGTGTCCCGTAGTTCACAGTTAGTCAGTGCTTTTAACTATTCCATGGTTTACACGCCCACAGTGCAAGCGAGCACAATTCGTGTCTTGACGAATGCGGATGGGTCGAGAACCCAGGAGATCACTGTAACCGGCACACAACTCGAAGTGGATTCGAACAGACTGGGAATTGTTACGTTGGGAAATTTCACTCCGTGTCAGGTTGTCTCTCATACGGCAACACAAATTGTGTGCACAAACGATGACTTGTCTGCGGACACCTATTCGGTGAATGTGTTCGTTCCCGGTTACGGTCAAGCAACGTCCACCGCCCAAGTGACCGTCACATTGGGTTTGGCTTCAATCAGTCCATCCACAGGTGAGTAAAAATGTAGTTTTTCCAGACCGGCTGCATATTGTTGAACAATAACGTTTTCCCGTTAAAATCTAAGGATCAGTTCCACGTTTTTCCACTCATGTGTTTATTTGATTTGCATTTAATTGAAGCTACTCATGCGTAGTTATATGAGCACGATCCAATTAACCGTGAATGTTTGTCTTTCAAACGTCCATTTCACGTAAAATCCGCATTTCATCGAAGCAGCCGTACAGTTGCTTTTTCTGCAGTTTATCAGGAATATAAGCTGCCACTGCCCCCATCCCTCACACCCACACACTCCCGGGATAGGACGAACCCATTTATCATAAAATATTCATCCTGGATTCATTTTCCGAGGTAGTTAAGTGTGAATCTCTTTGTCTCTTGTGGTGTCAAATGAACAACTGTATGACTGACTGACTGACTGACTGACTGACTGACTGACTGACTGACTGACTGACTGACTGCAATTGGCAACGACTCAATTTGAGCCGATGAGCATACGGGTAACACATAGACCTTGTCAGCAATGTGTTCCTCATGGCACGGAGCAATATGCACTAAAATGTCACAAATCCACATTGTCTATTGGGTATACTGGTTGACTATAAAGATAAATTGCGGATAGTGTGTGAAAAGTGGTGATCGGTCAACTTCGACAACATGTGAAGTCAAGATATACTGTACGGTTGTGGTGATCATGTAACGAGTACGCGCGCACCACGATACAGCATCCAGGTAATCAATCAAGAAACGGATTAACCGACCAATCCTATGGTTCTTAGTGGCCCTTACCGGATTGGTTGAATGCAAGGAGGCACACAAATGGACCATATCGCTGTCGATTAGACATCGAAAAATGATTGTTTGTTGTTTGTGATATAGATATATATATATATACTTGCATGATTTTCTAAATATAATTTACTGTATCCAGATCTCTTCTTGATTCGACCTAGCTTAGCTCTATTCAGCGGTTTTTCTATCGGAATCCGAGTTCGCAATATTCGATTCCGATGCCTATTCTGAATACTACAACGGTTCGTCCGTTTTGTAACTGTTAAGATTGTATGCTTGGTCTCTCATTCAAATGCTGCCAAATGTGAGGAAAAAGAAGTGCACAGGACCGGTCAGTATACCCAACATCGAGGAGTTGAAGTGCCTTCTATCTTCCGCGCTCGTCTTCGATATTGTTCCTGTTTACTCAACTAGTACGGATGAATGATCTGTATTGTAATACTTGAATAAATGCCTTTTGAGAAAAGTGAAAGTTGACCATCGGGACCACTGACTCCTAACTATACCTTCCGGATTATGTTGCTCACCACAAAATTTGCTACTCTTCGCACCTGGGGGGGGAGGCTTTTGTCAGGCTCCACACTTGAAAAGTCTGATTTTACTCACCTCAGCGTTCATCATCGTTACCACGCAATACGTCATTGCCCAAGTATTGTATTCATTGCATGATTTCTTTTAATCATGTGTTATGTAAATAAATATATATATTCCGTAGCAAATGAAGTGTGAAATGAAGAGCTAGGAAGCACCCACTGTACATCTGTTTGTTGGGTCTCATCAATCGTGTGAACTGATTCACCCCAACTTGGGATTGGACCTGACAAATGGATTGTAAACATACGACCAGTTTGACAACCCGGTGGTCTATGGTCGATCGCAGATTCAGGATCAGTTTTCACACGATGCCTAAACCGGACAAATGTATACAACGACTATCACCATCATCATCTCCATCCGAATACTCCTAATCATCATCATCATCTTCCGAATCATCATCATCATCCAAGTCATTATCAACGATGTGGTGACAAAAGTATCTTCAGGGGATCGATTCTCAAAATTGATTCATGAATTATGCAATAATTCTCTTTTTAAGCTGACCATATACTGAATTCAATAAATTGTGAATTTTATTTATTAATCAACAACCTTAAATTCCGCAGGTGGTTTACTGGGTGGTCAGTTCGTCACATTGAATGGAATTGGCTTGGCTGGTCATCGATCAAACGTTACTATCTGTGGTCAACCATGCGGTAGAGTGCAGGGATCAGCGATGAATGTCACATGTCAAACACCAAATATGAGTAAGTTGAAGTCTATGAAAAACGAATTAACTGAGATCATTAGTTCCCTTCTAGACCCTTCTAGTCTCTGACAACCACCACCAGCATCAACACCTCCACCGCCACCATCACAATAGCTATCGTAATTGACTGTTTCTTAATGCCAATGAACAGATGTGTTTTTGCACGAACCATTTCCCCAGTTTTATTAAATGCTTTTGCATTCATGGGAGTGTTATTTGCTGAAACATTGGAATCTCCGTTTCTACTTTATTTTGCTCAGGCAGGCTATTCTGAACTTGATGGAGACTTGACCGGAAACTAGATTACCATCACTACAGGCCTACTTAGGTGTACGTCTCATATCATGCTGATGGTAGATTGTTTCACGGAGTCGCCCAGTCAACCAGAGTCACTTTATATTATAGACAATATTTCGCATTGGGTTTGGTTCGATTCATGCAACTGGAGCAGGTACTGGGAGGTTTTGCGTCGACCGGGGTCAACAAAATTGTGCCATAACATTTTCGGCTGAATATGAATCAATTTGCCGTCAGGCTCCTTAAATACATCACTTACGCCTACTTTCATTGAGCCTGTACTCCTTAGTAAAAGAAAAAGATTGCCCTCACTACCGATATCCAGTCTGTTCTCCTATCTCTGCACTTCCCTATAAACCATCCATCTCTAGTTCAGTCCTCGGGCTCTTGATGAGCCAGCGTTCAAGGGATTTTGCGTGCTGTCATATGTGGTATCAGGAGGAAAGGTTCTGCGGGTGTCCAGCAGAGCAGCCAAGGTCAGGGAGATCCGTCGCTTTGTTTATTTTAATCGACCGTACGGCCATTTGCTTCGCTTCCTTGATTATCATCCAGTGTTCACTGAGTCCTTCGACAGATGATTGCGCTGAAAGACGTTCAGAGAGTTTCACTTTCTGCAACTGCTGGCATAACTGAAAAAAATATATGAAAGAAAGATTTCAATCTGTTTGTCCGACATACCTCGAGCCAAAAACATTTTTCCGGTCAAAAATTTGATTGGAGAAGTGAAAAAATGAATCCGGGGTCATTGTGAAAACTCATGTTTCTGATTTATCGAGCATTTTAATTTTAGCACTGCAATGAGTTCATCTGCCAAGAGATGAACCGTTTAAAAATCCAAGGTGTTACTTCATTTAACGTTTTAAGGTCGTCACTTCTGCCATGTTAACCAGGAGCAAACCGAACCAAATTGAGCCGTAAAGTCATCATGGTGCACTATTTTGTGTTAGTTCTATTACCTCCTTTAAATGAGGGTCTGTCTTCAGTATAGAGAAATTACCATAATTTTTCCACTTAGTGATAAACCTTACCAAATAAATAAATAAATAAATGTCTGGAGACCTTCGTAGGTTTTTCATCTAGCCTCGTCCCCAAGATGAACCAGTGCCGGGAAAGAACCTGTAATCACTGTTTGATATGATATAGGACATTATAAACAATCTTCAAAGCAATACCAAGCGATGTTCTCACAGTGCTGTTAGATATACTCAACTGATTCAGCACAGCCAACAAGTTCTTCGATCTGACAGTTAAGTGCTTGTACACTTTCACGCCAAATGACAGACTTCTGACATCTGTGTGTGCGTTCCTCGCCAGGGTTATCGAATCGGTGAATAGTGTCACGTCGTGTTCGAGGACACAACCTGAATACGACTGTAGTAATTGTAGTAATATTAGTAGTAGTAGTAGTAGCACGCAATGAAAGCGGAATATGAATCACTGAATAGTAATCACGACGTCACATAAGCACTGGATCACACTGGCGATTGCACGCAATATCCTACGTAACCGAGACGCGAGGAAACGACCACAGGATTAGTAGTTCGTTTATTGTAATATGTATAGTAATATGTACAAAAGAAGCTCATTGGCCATCCGGGCCTCTGCCAATCGCGTTCTAGTATTTCTGCCGTTGTTCAGCTTCTGTCGGAGGTGCACGGTTTCTGATTAGCTGTTACAATGAACGAATGGTATGTATTTCAGAAGCTGTGGCACACACGCGTTTTACTGAGGTTGCCCGTGAAGCCTGATTCATCACAGTTGTCCAAAAACTGTGATAGGTTGCTCCAGGATATGAGTCATTTAGCAGGCTAGGATCACCAAAGCGACCAATCAACGTTAATCTCCATCAATCGATCAACGATCAAATGAATAAATGTCAAATGTGCAACATATCGTGGGAGCAATATTGATTAGTCCGAACATACAGTATTATGAGTGTGGTTGGTAAGGGTTTGATCAAGGTGAAAACATATTGGAAAGTGACAATTTCCTGGGTGCTACTTTGCATGAGATTGACACTATTCCTCATTTAGTTGTTTCTGACTGCGTATCTCTGACCCTCGACTTCACCTCCACCCTAAATTTTGTTTTGCAGATATCACTGTGGATACAACTTGTGACGTTATCGTAACTGTACCCACATCATCCGGTTGGAGTCAACCGGTGACATTACAAAATGCGTTCCGTTATCTTCAGGCCTCTACGCCAATCGTCACCAGTATTCAACCTTCGATTGGCGGAACAGCGGGAGGAACTGTGGTCACAATCCAGGGGACCTCATTGGAGTAAGCTAAAACTTGTATATTAGAGATTGTATAAGCTAACGCACATTAGTTCAATGAACGATATTCCAAACGAGTCTTCTGGCGTCTTGATATGTCTAAATCCGTTCACATAGAACTATGTGAACTGCGGGGTCAGTCATCACATGACCAAACAGCCAATCAGAGCAAGCGTGTCTTAATCAGTATTTATTTGTGGTTGTGCACGAGTATGGGTGTGCATGAGGCCGCAGTAGTGTCAATATGCCCGCCTCTCGTTCTGTCAGTGTGTTTGTCAGAGTGAGCAAACCAAATGGCCCAGTGTCGGTGCTGTACTGACCACACGGATCCAGACAGTGAGAAATGTTTGCCAAGGTTTAATGACAGAAAAATATGTGAATCCTAGGGTTCTCGAAAAAAATGGGTTGACTGGATTAGTTACAAAAAAACGTTTTGATCACCTAGTTGAATAAATAGATTTACGGTCGGACAAGAAAAATAAGCGGGTTTTTAATTTTTCCAACGAACTGCCAATGAATTATTCCAAATTTATTTCAGGATTGATTCAGTGAGTGAGCACTTGTGATAATCCCTTGGGCTACGATACGTTTTTGCATTGTATTCCAGTGTTTAATTACTCCGAGAGAGATAAACGGACTTATTATGTTCCGCATTTAATACATGGTCACCGTTCACTAAAAGCCCCAATTCCTCCCATAGTGGCTGAAGCCTCGTTCTTAAGTGGCGAGGGGAAGCTTCTCACGGATTGCATCTCTTGTTACGTTTACCGTCCTACCCTGGCAACGGTGTGCATGATGACATTCAGGGCTGTAGCCGAAATGAGGTGTCATTGGGCAAATGGCACACGAAGGAAATTGTAGAAACCTCGATTCCAAAGCTCCAAGGAAGACTCATACTGACCCAATCCACGATATTCCGATCGAAAATAATGCCTGTGCGATTAGGTAACAGTTTGTGATAAATGCCATGGAATGTTAAACCCACTCAACATTGATTTAAGACCAAAACAAGTGTAACAATAAATACCCGCCATTGTCACATTCCTACATTGCCTCGAAGGAGTCCGAACAAACTTGACGATTATTCGCAGACAGTGAAGACTGCCACTAAAAAACCTTCCATCCGATGCCTCTGCATGGATTTAATTCATATCGGTCATTACTTTTTACACGTCAACAAAATTTGGCACTTCGTAAAGGTCCTCAAAGCCAATGTTCACCAATAATCACACTAGTCAATACAAGCCGCTTATTCACGGAGTTTATGATATATGTATATATATATATATGTCAAATTCAGAAAGGCAGGCTTACTTCACTTAGTTCTTGTACGACTACTCAAGCCGATCTATATTGTAGTACAGTCATTCCGCATGGTGCGGGTGCGTGCGTGCATGTGTGGTAGATGATAGCATCTATCAACCAATCAATCCAGCCACAGGCAAGCGTGACAATCGTACCAGTCGCTTTGAGGCGACAACAAATCAACGTTATTTGACTTGAATGGACCATTTTGTCAGTACTAGTCGATTGACTTCTCTCCGTGTTCATCATCTTTCTATCGTCAGCGGATCGCACGGAGATGATCCTATCGTAGTGTTTGATGCAACACTGTATTGAAAAAAGTTGTCAAGTTCGCTAAGCAATACTGTATCTGACTTCTGTTCGACCAGTCCAGTTTTTATCACCACAGACGCTCCAGACGATTGGAGGTTGAGTAAGCCGGTGATGAGAACATCGGAATAATGCTCAGTGAATGTTAGGAAAGCATCTCTCGTGAAGATAGCAACGTTATTACTTACTACCATAGCCGAGACCCCATGAGGGACAAAGATATTTCACAGGATAATAATGAGTGATTCTCGGGGCACTGACCTCTGTTATCTCAGCTTCGGTTCATTTCGAATATTCATTGTCCAGTTGACTTTGCTTAATTCATCTGCCGATTGCCAAAGCCTATACTCATCATTGAGCGTCCATTCGGCGCGCGATTGAGAGACGAATATGAGATATCAGATAGCGTACACAAATTGGTCATTCGAGGCTGAATTACACTGGTTTACACCGTCCGTACACAATGTGGCCTGAGCGTGTTTTAATTCACCGTTTCCATTCTTCATAACCCCAATCACAAGTGGATTATCGAGTACACTGCGTTCTTGACGAATTCCAAGACGTCTAAAGTCCCATGGTTAACCTGATATAGATCATTTCTGAGGCTCTCGCTAAGGCATCGTTTGCCTTAGAGAGTTGCAGTCTGCATTTGTATGTCTGAATCGGGTACTCTGTGGCCAAGTGGTTAAGTATGTTTATAGTCTACCTATACTGAGGTTCCGGATTTGATTTTCAAATGAGTCGATCGAATCCCACTACCGATTACATCCAAAAATGTTGTACAGGACTTCAGTTCTTACATCGTTTGTTCCGTACATCATATAATCCACTGTATGATGGAATCGTATTCTCCGTTCATCTCACGAAATCCAATCCAATCTAAAGACACAATGTGTTTAAAATAGGAAACAAATGAGACAGATAGGCGTGAACAATCAGTCTACTCCCTCCTTGGCAAACACCTGCATTTAGCTGGGCATAAATCTCTTCGGATGATTGATGATCATCAACACTGCTAGGTGCCTGTGTCAATGGGCTAATCCAAACATCCACTATCTAAATTGAATAAGCAATTCGAACAGAGATAAGGGTTTGAAGTCCCGACCCGAATGTTTGCGGTTCGAGGCATCACACGGGGACACAAAATGTACGCACTGCTGACGAAACAACTGTCCCGGTGCTCTCTGACGGTCATCGCAAACATGTACGTCGCAATAAAAGGTATAAACAAACCTATTTCCTGTTGTAGATAGAGGGTTTCGAATCAATGAAACTAAGTCTGCCGAACATGAGTATATTGATTACCACAAATTTGGTCCGGATTCGGACACATTTTGGGGCTCTTTCATTTGATTGAACTTCGTGTTGCATGCTGTTACCACGATATCGATCGCCTGCCAATGCGATCTAACGAACCGACGTAAAACCGTGGGCATTGTCGGTGACTTCACTCATAGAGAGAGATGATAACTTTGTCGATCGAGAACTTAGCATCTACTCAACGAATTCAATCACTGCTGGCAATTATGTACTGGGAAATTTATTCACTTTGTTGTGGACAAACGATATATTATTCTATTTCCGCCCATACGTTCCTTTTTGTCCCTGCCAGCTCGTCGGATGGCACAATTGTGAATATCGGTGGGTCCTCATGCACAATTCAATCGGCCAATGCAACGGTAATTGTCTGCCAAACTGGTCCACTTCTGCCAGCCGGAAAAGTGCCCGTGAATGTGATTGTTGGAAACAAAGGACGTGCCGCTGGAGTGAGTTCCCATCCGCCGTCAAAATGTTGGTCGATATATATATATATATAGTAGCTATTTGGCTACATTGAGTGAAAGCGCTGTAGAATACCAAAATGGTTGTTGCTGACTTTGTTTCAAATTCGCAAGTGTTGAGTGTTATGATTCCACAAGGATGTGCCTAATCGAGGATAGTTGCTTATTACGAACCATATTTAAGGAATGGATGACAAGATATCTCAGTTTGAACATGCCATCACAATAACCAGCAGCAGACAAGATGATGAATGTAACAGTCGGTGGGAGGTCTTCTTCACTTCTGACCGTTGGAAGAACCCGCCAACGGCATTATTTTGTATACTACTAACAAATATGAGTAGTACCTCATAATACTGAGCATTCCAACCAAGAAACTTACACGATTGTTCCTTTAAGATATTTTTCATTCAGATGCAAAAATGGAACTAGCTGAGTGCTATTCAGTTAGCTGTTTTAATGACTACTAAACCAGATGCATCTGTATCAGTACCAGATTATAATTAAATACAGATTGTCCACGGGGATTGTTGAAAACGAAATGTGGTCGTATATATGATGCAACCGTGTTCATGGAGATAATGTACAGGTCTGAAATGAAAGTAGGCCAAACAGATGATTTCAGGTTTAGACCCCACCCAACCCCCGCTGTAGTCATTGAAATCGGTATGGTTGAAAACTATTTCGCGTTAGTCAGGGTGCACGAATCTAGCGAATTCCCCGGAAAAACTGGCAGCCTTCGTGGATCGGCTGATTTCTCGTGGAGTTTAATAGAAGCAAATTCCTCAGGAATTGATTTATTCCAAGAAACTCTTGATTGCGTTGCTTGTATGAAAAGCTTTGACGCTTTGATGACTAGGTCAATCAAAACAAACGGCAGCTAAAAGCCTATCTACCTATGCCTTTGCGAGCAATTTGCGATCTTCCACGACGACTTTTCATTCTACTCAAAAATCACCCTGTGCGCTTTCGGTAGCTTGATGTTTGGTGCCATTGAAGAAAAGAACTTTACCTTGTCTCATCAAGCTTTAGCCAAAAATCGCAGTCCTTTAGCCTCGACCCGCAATCCTTTAGCCGAAACTCGAAATGCTTTAGCCACGATCCGTAGTTCTTTGAGCCTTGACGCACAAACTTTAGCCATACTGCTGTAAGCGAATCAAAGCAAAAAGTATCGAAATATTCTGAAGTGAATGGATGTTGAAGAAAATTATTTTCTACAAGTGTTGGTGTTGCACAGCTTGGTCCAGGAGTGAAAATGTGTGAGGGTTGTACGCTGAACCACATGTACTGACTGGAAAAGGCTTAACGGATGTGCCCCTATCGTCAAACCATTTGGCACATCTCATACAGCTTCAGTGTTTCCGTATAACATGCGATACTCCTATGAGTAAGATTCTCAAGTGTAACAAAAACGGTGCAATGTTTGGCATTTTGGGTTTTGGCTAGAGCTTGATGGGAAAAGGTGTAGTTGAAAAGCTTACACGAAGCTGATGACTGAAAGAAAAACGAAAGCATATGTGAAAAAAGTGACCATAGGACCTAATTATCATTGAAGGACTAGCTTGGTGAATGTGGCGAAACTTTGGCATCGTTCTAGAGAACAGTCGTTTACAATGTCAGAGACAAACGATTTCCTGCAAAATGACAAAGTGGGAACAGGCAGACGGATAGACAGACATTGCCTCTTCGTAAAATGCACGTGGTATGCGATTCTACAGCCCAGATAAATATTTACTAATTTGTTGATGGTAGTTTGCCGTATAATTTGATCATACCGACAATAAACTACATGTTATTTTAATAACTGTTGCCTTGTCTTGAGTTCGCGTAATTATTCACTGAAGTAATCACCAACCGTTTTTGCTGTTCTAGAAAAAGCGGTTTTCAGTCTCAAATAGTGTCTCTATGTAAGATATTCATCACGTCCATCACGAGGCGAGAGGCATGGATATGATGAATTCGAATTAGCGGGATTGGCTGATGACTGGTCTGCCCATGTTTTTACGGTATGGTCGGAATACGCGTTTGCTCTCCGTCTAAAAAGAAAGAGCATTCCCCAGCTCATGAAATTAATAGATGCGATATAAACACAGGAAAAGTGTAACTGTATCTGCCAGACAGGTTCCAAGTATCACTTTGGCACAATGAATATAGAATGCCCAATGAGCTTTCACTGTACACACCAGGAGTGATCTCATCCCAGGGCTGGACAACAGACGAAAACAAAAGCATCACAACCAGTACGAGTCGGTGACCAGATAGTCTGGTGTCAATTTGACAGAGTCCAAGCCGGGCAAATCCCATAGAGTCTGGATTCAGTCAGATCGTGGAGGGTTAGAATGAACTTAATTATTTCAGATCATGGGTCAGATGGATAAGACAATGTGAAACAATGGAGCATTCGCGCTATCCGGATCACAGAGCATGAAAGAAAAATAAGACTGAGACAAAACAACAGGTATATTGGCTAAATATAGGGGGGGAATCTCGTCAAACACTTTTCATTCATTAGCGGAACAACACCGACGGGATTTTTGAATTCACAAAAATCAATCTCATATGGATTTCTGGCAAATACGAAGCAACTGTATACTGGGATATTGATGATCTGTGCTCTATGTAATTGTATGTGATAGCGCAGAGATTGCAAGCAGTAATAGCGCGCCTGAATTTAATCGTCACTAAACTCCCCGAAACTGGATCGACCTCGAATAACTGGATGATAGAAATTTCGTCATTAGTTTGCTGAACACTTGTACCCGAATTGTCTGACTTCACCTCGAAACACGAAACACGTTGTTTTGTTAAGCTGTGCCTTGAACTTATCGGAATATGTGCTCTAGATGAACTTTTCCTCTGTCAACTACTTTATTACATATTCAGAATTTCCTCTACTACTATGTGGACCGATGGTCTAGCCCGTACACTTGGGGCAATAGTACACCTCCTGTGGAAGGGGATTTTGTGGTCATTGGCGATTCGCAACAGATCATGTTGGATCAAGACACCCCGGTACTGACCATGGTGCTCATAAACGGTGGTATGCTATTCTTCGACCGAACGAAAGACGTCGAGTTGAAAGCCAAATACATTATTATTCTCAATAATGGCAAATTGCAAGTGAGTCACTATTTGTAATGTTCAGCTCGAACTCAGGTAAGAAGTGCGGATCAGTTCATTGTACGTTTAGTCTTGCCTACTCGAGTGCCTTCACCAGATCGACTAATGAGAATGTACAGCAGATACACATCAATCGGATGAACAGACTACACAAATTTCCTCTAAAAATGGGACTGCCGGCTTGGCGACGTATGTCTATATACATATATGTATTCCAGACCCTCGAACACATATTTATAATCTTGGGCTTGATTCATATTTTTCAGATAAGTTTTACTTAGTGAAACTTCTGGTATAAATAAACTTTACGGGAACACGAAATGCCTGATACATAAACGCATACACACATACTTATGCAGAGAGCGGTGAAAGCCCTAAGGACACCATACTGCTGTTTTGACCTCAATGGCCAAGTTACTTTGCTTTGCCAGGGTTTTGAAAGATATTTCCCCAGTGATTCGATTGCAATTTCTGTTCAGACATAATATAGAGCGTGTCATCAATTAATAACACCTGATCTGTGCGTCGTAAATTTGTCGTAACTGTGTTCATTTGGCTAAAGATTAAACATTTCCAGTAACGAATCTTTACCAACAGCAGCGGCAACATGTTCTCGTAGACGATCACGGATTAAAAAATGGTTTGTGATTAACTAGAAGACTGACTGATGACGGGATCACGTGTCACAAATTGGGCTCAAACCGACAAAATGATGCCATGAACTCACCTGTTTAATGTTTAATTTATCACCTTAACTAACTATGAGGTCACACTGCTAACATTATTGCTTTCATTCTCAACCATTCACCCATTAGAATAATGCACAGAGAGAGAGTTCAAGCCATAAGCGGTCTAACAGAATGACCAAAACGGTGTTCCGTGTAAACTTTGACTCTGTCCTCTTGTGACAATTGTGGTAATAGTAGTACGCACTGATCACGAAGAACGGATCACGGATTAGAAATCACGGACACCACGTCAGCACTGGATCACGCCGGTACTTGCACGACAGTATCCCACGTTGACAAAGTATTGAAAATTGGTTCTCGTAGCTCGGGTGAACTGAATTCTATTTCGCCTGTTCGCCGAGATTGGCAATTTGTTTGCAAACGTTTCATCACCAGCCGAGGTGACATCATCAGTGCTTGTGGAGTGGCCACTTCACAAGTCTATTGGTCATCCAATCCTCTGCCAATCACTTGCCAGTATTTCTGGTGTTATTCAGCTTCTGTCTGGGCCGCACGGATTCTGATTGGTTGTAAAGATCGACACATGGTTTGTAGTCTAGAAGCTGTGACACGTACGTGCTTCGCTGATGTCACCCGGGAAGCTTAATTCATCACAGTTGTCCAAACAGCAACGTATCGCTCCGTAGTTATCGTCACCTAGGATCACCACACCTCTATAGGGATCCGATGCGAGGAAGAAATGGTATCCTACTTGTACGACACATTGTTTTGACTGTTTCAGATCGGCACCGAAACAGAACCACATCCATCTAAAGCAACGATCACATTGTTTGGTCACGTGCTTGAGAAAGATCTGCCACTATTTGGTGCCAAAGTTCTGGGAGTACGTAACGGTACATTGGAACTGCACGGTAAGAATATTGTTGAATTCAGTCTGTTTGCTTTTCCGAGTCGGGTTTCATCATTAACATCAACTGCATCGATTCTTTTGTAAGTTTACTGCACGAAAATGCGTTGCATGTGAAACCACACCATCAGTTAGATGGTGTGGTTTCACATGCAATCCCGTACTGCATTTAGCTGTAGAATCTGTGATAAAACCTTATCTCGAACGATCTTGACAAATGGGAGCCGCTTTACCATCTATTATCTTCCAGGTTAAGTAGGTAGATAAGCACGCAGTGAACTGAGCAATACGTTTATTTTAGAGGGACACACGCATCCGGTCCAAAGACCGCTGAGCAAGTAGGAACGGAAAACACCCAGAACGCAGACAGAGAGGCAGGCCAACAACTAGCAGAAGCGTTACACAACATGCGCATGCCGTCAAGTAGGCTTTCAAACAATCACCGTGTCAATCGATTGATCAATCAATCCGGACACAGGCAAGTGCGACAAACGTAACAGTCATTCGTAGGCCACAAAACCCTTCAAAAGTGTCAAAAAGTGATATCGCAACTTACAATGAATAATTTAGTTCCTGTCTACCATTTGCTTCATTCAATGAAGACGGTTCTGTTTTTACTGTCCGAATGCTTAAGCTGAAAAACAAAACGTACTGCTACCAACTTGCACGTTGCAGACCACCTATGTTGCCCGGACAGCACAGTGGAAGAGGTACTGATGACACAACAGTGGCGAAAAGTATTCCCTTTTAATAAACATTTTACCCCTAAGTTTAAGCGGGCAGGTATTTATTTCTAACTGTCCATCACCCCTTGAGTTAAAACATGCTCTGTGCTCCTCAAGGATCAGTTTGTTCTGAGCGTGCACCACCAATGCGCTCTCGTTAAAGAAGAACACATGTGGTGCTTTTCGAGGTTAACCAGATGAATAAAACGTTGTAAACGGAGTTCAATTACGTATTATTTATTTGTGATTATTCGTTCGAAACCAATGAAAACAACGGTTGTCCCTCCCATACAAATACTCCCAGGGGGTTGTAAGTCCGAATGTAGAACGTTGACGTGTGTTGTGTGCAAGCAAGTACGAGACCGGAAGTGAGCGGCTGCGAAAAAATGAATATTTACTCTGCTGAAGCTAACATTTATCTAAAAGAGATTAAAAAAGGATTTCAAAATTGTGTTCTGCTCTAGACGTTCGATCGATAAGAGCGCCCTTTGCCCCAACAATAACGCGGGAAGGGGGGGAGGAAACACGACCGAAGAGCATCATGCAGAGCGTATTCTAGGATCATGATATGCCACACAAATATAAGGCGGTAAATCGGGCACACGAGAACCACATGGTGACGCACCAATCAGATTGCGTCCTTGACACTACGATTGGTCAACTGGATGATAGTTGTCTGATTCGTCTTGGTCATCCAATCCGGAATCGATTTGCCGTGGGCGTCTCGAGCATGCTTGTGGTGTGATGTAGATTCGTGTGCGACTCGACCGGTTCTGTGGGCGCCGTCCTAACAAAAATAGTGGTTTGGAAATACCGCTTTTTCTCGTCTTTTTCTACCCTCGTAGAATTAGCGTTCTAGCTATGCGACTTTTGGAATACAGGTAACGATCATCGAAAACTATCCTACCACTTCCAATATCTGTTTTCTTCTTTTCTTTTTCTTTTCTTCTCAGAAGTGCGCAACCTGTTTCTGTTCATCGGTTAATGATCACCATCTGAGTTACAGTAAATATATCTTCTCATATACGTGGTTGAAGAAAGTATGCGATGCTTTTAATTTCATCTGTTGGCCCTATTTTATACTGTGTGTGTCAATCACGTCCCACAGGTTTACCTCGGGCAGTCACGTGGACACGTCTAGCCCAACCTGTTGAGGTCGGATCGAAACAAATTACGCTCACACATCCGGTTGATTGGCAACCGGGTGAGCAAATTGTGATCACATCTACCGGGGGCCGAAATGCACACGGCGAAAATGAAGTTCACGAAATTGCAAGTGAGTAGAGAACACATTTTGTTCTTGACGAGTTTCTATGCATGCATTTCACATGGTACAGTTTATCGGAAACCAAAACTGGAAGCAAAGTTTCCCAGTAACGAATTTGAATAGAGAAGCCGAAAACAGGTTTGTATTGTGGATCAATTCGCTGCTCCTGTACACATACTCACTGCAGTCTATGTGATCATTAAAATTTGGTCAGTAAATAACAGATTCACAGGCGGAGAAAGATTGCAATCAAAATGACTCACCAAACACATTTGTTGTCAAGGTGGAGCCAGAGTGATAAGTCATTCACGCTGTTTACACAGTTTGGGATGGTGATTTTGAATGGCTAGTTCCTCGGCATATTTCAGAACCTTGGTGTTGTTTGTGTTGTAGAGGATTCTAAACGCGCAGCAAGACGAAATATTCATTTCCACAAGGTATTGTGTGATCGATGGACTGAGGTTCCTGCGGGTTATTGGTGACCTCATACTTCCGAAGTTCCCATTGATTGTTTTCTGAATCCGTATTGCAGTTATCCCTCCGTTCTGTCGATGTAGATGACCGAGCACCCACATTTGAACTGATGGACACTAATATATTTGGCGTGCGAAGGACAACATATTAATGATCACATAGATTGCAAGAGTAGTAAATGTATAGCTGGGGTTGGATTGGAGTGAGAAATACTATTTATTTAAAGGGGAAAAATAGTTGTGTATAGAGCAGATGAGGCGTGAACTGAAAAGTTAGGAAGCATTCCATTACTGTTTCGACCTAGTTGGATCTCATCAGCAGTGCGAATCCACTGACCCGTGAGATCTCATAGACAGAAGGCAAGTATGCTACCCACCGGTCAGTTGAAGAAACTGTTTTTCATTCTCCATTAAATCTACCTCGAAGATGTTACGCTGTTAACTGTCAGTTTTCAAACTGGACACATAAGCACGAACTGTGATCCTGGAACAGACAAGGCATCAGATAAATGAATAAACAACCGGGATACCGATCAAATGAACGGCAGGATTTTTGTACTACTTGTGGTGCACAGTGATCACGAAATACGAATCACGGATTAGAATTCACGGACGCCACGTTAGCACTGGATCACACTGGTGCTTGCACCGCAGTATCCCACGTATCCGAGACTCAAGGGAAAGACCACAGGGGTAGCAGTTCATTTATTGAAAGCATCATGGGGTTTAAATGCTATGTACAAAAGAAGTTCATTAGTCATCCAAGCCTGAACCAATTGGGTGCTAGTAGTCCTGGCGTCTGTCTGGGCCGCACGGCTTCTGATTGGTTGGCACTGTCGGTCTATAGTTCGTAGTCTAGAAGATGTAACGCTTGAGCGCTTCGCTGGCGTCACCTGGAAAGCTTGACTCGTCATAGATGTCCGGAAACTGCAACGTGTCGCCCAGTGGTATGCGTCATCCCGTAACATAGGATCACAACAGTTTTCTTTAATAAAAACTTGAGTTAATTTGAAAACCCCTTTTGTATATTCTTGTGTTGTCATTCACCTTCTTCACTGCCCCCCCCCTCCCTAGTTTTGTTTGCTAGTTTGAGAGTTCGAAGACTACGCAATTCTACACTGGTCTGTTAAAATTATTTCACACTTGTTGGTTTTTATTGCTCCGACAAACATGTTTTCTCTTGCGAAAACGTCTGCAACAATATCCTATCAGATATCACTCACCCATCGCACACATCGAACTTAAACTTGCACTTCCGTAACTAGGTATCGTTATAATTCTGTGCATAGTCGTACCAATGCGAACCGTTTGTTTCTTGGTCCGTATTTTCCAATATTTCTGGCACAGAAAACCATAGGTAAATGACATCCACTTTCCCAATTTTTACGACTCTGTATTTTACTTTCCCTCTGTGTGACTGTATGCGATGATAAATCATTCTGGTCTGCACTGAGCTGCAGACTCATCCATTCATCCGGATGAATAGAGAAAGCAACCTGTAAGTTGACTTAACTTGAAGATCTATCATGATCGTACATTGATTTGTAGGTATCCCAGATGGACATCACTGGACTCAAACTCTCGGATGACTGTTTTTCTCAGACTTTTGTAGCAATGAAAACTCATTTTACCATANAATGATAAGTTCTTTTCCGAGTTCCTGTTTCGCGTATTGGCACAAAAACATAAGAACTTGACTTGGCAATCCGTCTCGTGCAATGCACGTGGATCAATCAGTACATCCCGTAAAATCAACCGTTTCTACTTAGGCTGACTGAACCGGTTTTGTTAACACGTCAATCTGGTCGCATGCACATATTGTAGAGGGTTCCGATGCTGTTAAAAGAAGAAGCGACCAAACAAGCACGAAATCAAGATGGTATGGGTTTACTTCTTGAGAACCACAGGAGCTCTGTATATACTACGTGAAATGCGAAATTACGATGCATGTATATATATATATATATGCACTGGTGCAATCCTCTTTTCTGGTACTAATATCATATGGTCATACGAAATCCATTCTCAATAGTAACACAGTGCTGCGGTTCATAATTCGCAGTCAACTAAATGCCGGGTTATTATTTCACGACATCAAAACAGTGTTGCGGTTTTGGTTCAGGCAAACTTGAAGCCAGCAGAAAACGCCTGAGTTATACTAACTCGAAGAGGCAAGTATTTAGACCAATGATGTCAACGGGGATATAAAATCCGTACGAATATATGGGTCTACATTGAGTGACACGTAACCTCAGTAACCAAGTCCAACAGTTCTCGAGGTTTATTCGACTCCAAACAATAGTGAACGATAATTCAGAACTGTCAATATGAAGTTTTACAATTGCATAAACAACACACCTCAATGAGAGGCATTCCCGGGGGATATGTCTGAACTGGCGAAAAGAACAATGCCCAACGGTGCAAACGAGGGAGTGCATCATTCTGTCAAGCGAACAATCAATAGGTGCAACAATGTCAGAGCGCACATGAGTCAGTAAAGACCAATCCGAATAAGATTAGGCGATGCGATACGATACGATAATGTATCCACGAATTTGCAGTGATTATGGGAAACGACAATTTTTGCGGTTCACAATACATGAAAAATCAGCACTGGAGCGATTCAAACAAATCTCATTCCCCGTTTCAGCGGTCAGTTCGGATTTGCGTGTGTTGACTCTGGTCGAGGGCATGGCCTATCGTAAAATATCCACCACAATCAACTATTCGAACGGTGTATCCGGATTTTTCACGGCTGAAGTTGGACTGTTGACACGTAATGTGCTGATTCGTGGTGACTCTAGCTTGACGGTACCAAACTCAGTACCGAAGTGTTCTTCGGATTTCTCCACCGGTGAGTTCTCCGCTTTCCATATCTTTTGTCTTAATCAACAATGATAACGCGCCCATTCGACTGGCTGTGCTACGCCTAAGTTCACCCTCGCATTGTAATTTATTGATTAGTTTCTACCATTTCACAGGAGGGGTTGAAAGAATGAAAGCAAACGGCACTCTCCAAAACCGTTAATGAATAATTCTGGAATCTTTCAGGGTGCTGTACTTTCTCTATACTTATTTTCAACTTTCATCAGTGACTTACTCTCTATCCCGCCTTTAAATATGCTGGTGATATGGTCTTGTGTCAAGCCATTTCAAACCAATGTGACACAATCATTTTTTGACAAGTGCAATTATACTCGAACCACACAGGTCTTCAGTTGAATGCTTCTAAATGTTTTGAATGCGATTTCTGTCTCTTTCGGAACCCTCAGTCATCAATGTCGTACCCATCAACATCAAATAACTGGCATTCACCATAGAGAGCAACCTATGATTGTCCTCTCGTGTGCAAGCTTGCATTGGTAGACTGTGTCGCTTATCCCTCCAGATAAGCAAGCTACGACAATGTGAAGCATGCAACGATATGTTCTTTTGTTTATCAATGCATTTTTCCTATCATATTTTAGTGTTCGTCCGCTAATTTCCCTGGACTACTTCCAAGAGATTCCGTTTCTCTTCGTCGCGGTTTGATCATTACCAGCCGTATTTCTCTTATTCCCTTAAACACTACAAATCACAAATTTGTGTGATTTTTACACTACTTCATGTGAGAATTTTGCTCATAAGATACTCAGTCATCCGTTCAGTCCCGATATATCTGCTTGCCGTTCCCACGCTCCAACCTGATCCAATTATCGCTGCTTACCCTCCCACCTAACCATTTATCGCGATTCAACGGTTCTCTATCTGGTTCGTATTTTAACTGACAAAATAAAGATTGTAAATAAACTAATTTTAAGCCTACAAAGCTGAACTCCTATTTAAGTTTCATCGTTATTGTACATAAATTTTTTGTTTTTATCCGATTGTAAAAGTGAACATTCTTTTGACTGAACTTTTGATACGGTTGTCCGCACAAGTCATTGCAATACAGTACAATACAATACAATACCTATAGATTAGGCAAATACTGTTTCGAGCGATTTGAAGCTATGAACTAGGCAAGAAACGGTAACCAGTTTTATGACAATATGAATTAGAGATTGCATACTGCGTTCTCTCTAGTACGAAAATAACAGTCAGTATAAAAAGAGTTGCAGTGGTTGTAATAGTTGAAGTAGTGCTGTCCGTGGTGGTATCAGTTACTTTTGCACCTCTCCGGAAGTTGTATTGTTACTAACTCATCCACATCGCTCAGCCTCCGCGCATCCTTTTCTAGCCTTGCTTTTGCCCTCTAGTCGCCTACTGTCGGTTTCGTAGATCTTCTCCATGGTTTTTCGCAAGAATAGGTTGTTATAATCCCAGAAGGCAGTGCTGGTCGAGGATAGTCGTTTATGGCCAATAACAGACAAGATATGTTTAAATTGTCAATCGTACAACAAAATATGCCATTTGGAACAAATTTGCAGTATTCCCGCAAATACACAGGATGTGTAATGTAACGGTCCTTTAACAGATGCGCACTCTTGTGTTCACCGTACCAAACTGCAACAGTTTACTCCAACAGGTCTTTTTCATTTTTGGTTGTTGAAAGAAACCCTTGATCACATCCTTTTGCTTACCACTCACAAGTGAGTAGTATCTCACAACAAGGGTACTACACAATCCCCGAAGTACCTTTCGGGATAGTTCTACTCCCCGGTCGCTCAGGCTGAATTAGGAAATGATTCCGCGACACTCCAACCGGTATGTTGGTTCGAGGCCGTCGCTGATGCTACTGCAGCAAGGCAGTAGAGTTATTCCAGACATGCGTTTGGACACATGCGATTTGCGAATCTCTCGTACTTTCTGTTCAACGACATAGTTCTTAAAAAAGCAAGGTAGAACTTTCTGATCAATCGGGCTAGAAAGATTAAAGTACTGATAAACATATCATTACCGTTAGCGTGAATGATCTTAGCGAATCAGTCCAGTTGTAGATTATAAGTGAAATTTATTGCTTTTCCATAGTCGAGGAAAAAATGGTGTGAGCATTTTTGTAAAGAACTCAATATATGTATATTAAAGTTATGGCAATCAAATTTCCCACAAGACGAGTTCGATACTGCCAATGAGTTTGTTCGTTCTTGGGTCCCTGTGCCCAATAGTGTGGTTATCATTCCCTCCGGGGACAAGGACATGTTGTTCAAAGTGTCAAACATAGGCTCATGTTGTTCATGGTTATGTCCCCTCGGAACGAAACAAATAGGGAACAACAAGATTGTGGCATTAGCTTGACGATCGATCACTTTTGGTGATTTCGATAATCAATTGTTCACTCCCTCTTCTCATAAACTGATATTTTTTGATTATAATCACATGTCCCGGCTGATCAAATGAATATCTTGTCCATTCCCAGTTGCAAACATCGGTAACAGCGTTCTATTGAGTATTGCCTATTTGGAACTTGTCGTTCTAATCAATACTAACCCCCTCCCCCTTGGTGTTTCTTGCCTGTTGTTCTGGCGATAACCTGTCAACTTGGCATTGTCTTTTTCTGTTCAAAAATCCGAAGCTGAAGTTTATTATAATTGAAACGCCCTGGTTAGAAAGAATACCAGTCACTGAACTGGAATCGTCTGACTGTAATTGTGCTAAAACGATTTATGAGGTCAATGGCTGAAGTACCGATTAATGCTCACTAGGTCTGTCGATACTTGTAAGGCCGATAGTGAGGTCGACCAGTCACGTGACACCCGATGCACTGAGAGCTCTCATCCGGAAGTTGAGTTGCTTTGACATATGGGGTGGATGAGGAAACCATTTCAAAAGACCATGCATCAAGCATCAATTCAATCATCTCAATGGATGGCATTTTTCATAAACCAACTGATGCCGTAAAAGTAAAACAGTCCTGTATGCTTCAATAAATCAGATACATCGTATCCTGGGTTAGTAAAAAAGTGCACTGGGTACTTTGAGTGCTGATTTTGTTGGGCGACAAAGACCTGGTGTTGTTGTTATTGTTGCTGCTGTTGTTTTTCTTATTTTTGTTGTTGTTGTTGCCAAAATCCTGATCGATGATTAAGATAAATCATGAGTAGCACCTTTCATAAGATGTCAACCCTTTATTCACCCCGTCTCCTGTCACTGACGCTTATGTGTAAAATGATCAGATTCATATTTTTCGAGCATAAGCCTCTTGCTTGGTCACCTGATGGCGCGAAAGTACACTTTAATGATCCGTCGCCTTCTTCTCTGCTGTCATAATACAGGACAATTCGCTACACAGAACTGTTATCAGGGTAATCCGGCAGATCAGATGGGTATCGATCAATATGGCGGTCACATACACGTTGGCGGTCCGACACCGAACAGCAACTCGGTGCGTGCACACATCTCCTACGTGGAGTTGACGTATATGGGTCAGGCGTTCCGCTTAGGACGTTACCCGATTCACTTCCATCTGAACGGACATATGCAGGGGTGAGTTCTGTCCAAATTCGGTCGTCCTCTGTCCGTCGATGTCCGTGAATTAACCAGTATATTTCTGAAGGAGAGTGTACTGCAGTTATGATTTGTTGATCCTTACTGAGGAACGCCACACGAAAAATGATATTGAATAAAACGTGACCTGCCTGGAATCTGTCACACACTTTAAGATCGATAATCCCTATACGGACAGAGATCATAATCCTGCTCCAGGGGGCCAGATCAGAGGTGAAGAACATAAATTTTAAACACTTTTTTCACCGTCCAATACAAATAACCTTCTCAAGAATTCCGCTATCAGATACTACTCCCAATTGTGAGTAGTTTGAACACGTACACACACACACACACACCAAGAAACGGTTTTCCGAGTCCTACAGTATCCGCATGTGGATTGAAGGATTTACTATGGCAAATGTAGAAGATACAAACAAACTCTCAGACTGGCGATAATCGATGTGGAGAAGATCACAAAATTACGAACTAACTGTTTCATTCTGTTACCTTATCCACCCGTAATCGATGCGGTGATCTGAATTGATAACTCTTCTCATACCGGCCCTCTCTTGTGGATTTATAACACCGTCGCTGGGAGAAAACTTACGGGCAATGTTTTTCATTGTATGAGTCCCTCTTAAATGCGGCACATCCTTTCCGAAAGTCTGACAGTCAGAGAGAGTGGCTGTAAATCCCCCTTTCCCAGTAACAAATATGAGATCGGTGTTCTCTACATGACACCGGTGATGCGAATGCAAGTTAAAGACAAACTACTGAAGTTGATCTCATCTGTGATAATTCATTCATTCAAGGGGAAACCTGACTGATACTCCCTCTCCCCACTGGGTCAACGTTTTTAGTTCCTTGCCAAAGAGAATAAATTTTACACAAAATGTTTCTCGTAAAAAATATAATTAACAAATTCGTATTGTAGATGTGTTAACCAGATATATAATTCAGTTGAATTGTTGATATGTTCCCTAGTTTTCGTGCGCTCACCTTTTATGCATTCGGTCGTTTCCATCACACATTGATGGAAGTTCATGTGTTGAGCTTTTGCATGATTGGAAGTTGTTGCCGAAGTAGTGTGATCACGTTTGCTGCCACGCAACGAATGCCCGAGAAACGATGACGGCACTAGACAGATTCCTTTTCTTTGATTCCGTCGGTATGAGAAAACGTTGTCTATTTGAACAGGCCTATTCTTTGAGGAATCCAAAATATCGCTATCTCTACCTGTGGAGCTAATAGCGTACTTCGAAGCTCAGATGGGAGACAGAAGTGGATGAAGTTCAGTAACAACATTGGTTTTACTTTTTGACCTCAAATATCACGATAGATATTGAAACATTTTTCAAGCACATAAGTGATGGGTTTCACATTGAATAAAGAAATTTTTCATAATATTGCATATTTATGTGCACTTCCTAGCCTTCCGATTACGATTTCAAATATGAGCGCGTTCAAGCTACTTGTGTGTATTGAGTACATTATTGAGATGTTTGGTCAGAGGACTGGGAATGTGGTTCAATTCCACCCTGTCAAGTAGGTCTGTAGTGCATGTTACGCATGTCGCACGGCTAGGCGCTTGGCTCAATACGCTATGAAGGACCCCTCATAATGACCTACTTAAGAGAAGGCCACATTATCTCGAGCACCAGCGGGATTTATCTCATAAACACTGGACACAAGAACGAGCCGGAGAAGGTTTACAATATTGTTTCTCGCATACCACTAAAAAAATTGAAGGTGACCAAATTTCAGACAATAGCCATGGCCGAGGTGAGCATCATATGCCCAAACCTGCGTGAAAAAAGACTTTTTCACGTGGTTTCTGGATAACAAACATAACATGACTTTCAAAGAAGAAATTCGTCGTGTATAGGGCAAGTAAATCGTGAACTGAAAAGCTAGGAAGCATTGCACAACTGTTCTGCCGTGATAGGGTGGCTTCATTAGCTCTATACACGACGAATTCCCTCTTGGAAATTGAATCAAATTTTCCATCACTCTCACGGATTCTGTTGATTGACCCAAGTGGAGAAAGGTCAGAGAAGGGTCGGAGCCAGGTCTGAACTGCTGGGCAAATGACCGACCTCCTGGATGCTTTCCCTAGCTAGAGAATAGCCCGCGACACCGGATCCGTGTGCATATGTGTTGTCATGGTGCAACAATGATCATTAAGCTTGAGCCCTTGAACGAACCCTGGCTTACAGCTTACAGCACTTTCGGTAGACAGTTGGTGCGCACCAGTCTCCGGTGATTGCGCTTTGCTGTACGAGTGGTACAGTACTCACGTGGCCGGTTTTGGCCATGAGCACAGCCATCGTCTGCTTTATCTCACACTGAACTCGCGTCGGAATTTCTGAAGC